AAATATGCTATGAGTATGTTCATATCCCTCATCTAATAATCACTTAAAGGTGGAAAGAGAATACCCTAGTCTCTTCTGGCTGACCCACAGAGGTCACAGAAAGTGTCCTGCTGATACCTGCAAAAACTTGAGCTTCTAATCGAGCAGGAGGTACTTGTAGATGTGTTCTGGGTGACTGCAGGGCAGCTGTCACAGTATCATTCATTTCTACCAGCCTAGTATTGGCACTACTGGGTGGTGCAAAGGACAAAACACTGGAGTTTTGTTTTGGAGGTCTGCAAGAACTCAGAAGCCTTGGTTAATTTCTTCTTGTAAAACACTAGTGCTCAAAATTTATTAGCCTAAAATTGGGTCTTAAAAGCCAGAAACAAGCACCACCTTGGCTTCTGTTAAACAGCTTGTTTTTCCTTTCAAGACTCCTTAATCTAGAAAACTGGCAGTGGCAATGGGAGTGGGGAAAAACACATCCAGGCCTACCCCTTCACCGGCAGACACGTGGGTTGGTGCAGTGCGTGGGGGCTCGCAGTGGACAGCAGTGCCCAGTTCCATGTGTTACTCCTCCTTGCAGGTTTTCACACAGTCGGAACCACCTGACCTCGGCCCGCTGACACCGACATTCCCTGCTGCTGGTTTGAGGGGGAAGGATTTTTTCCAGCTTCACATAAGAACTACATCTCTAATCCAGACCACCATCTGCTGTTGGATGCAACATTGTGTTATGGACTCCAGGACATTTCAGAGCCTCCATATTACACGTTTTCACGATAACCCAGGGTGGGGTTTGCAATGCAAGTACAATTTAGACCTTTTGCAGAACCCGAGATGGGTGGTCTAATTGTTTTTACAATGTAATCAATGCAGTTTTTAATTGTTCCCTATGGATGTATCCATTTTGGCTTGGTTTGATTCACAGCTTGTTACTGGTAAATGCCCGGCTGCTGGAAAAAGAGGGAGATTCTCTTCCATTGAGGTATATTTCAAAGGCGAGTCCGATGGTTTTAGCCTCCTGCCCTTCCTAAAGAAGTGTTTGTGAGCAGTAATGTGTGTGTGCAGGTATGTTTGGAAGCTCTCCATGCATAGAAAATTTCCATGCCTTTGGAAGTTTGAGCAGCTCTCCAATTATTCTGGAGGTTTGCCTCAGTTCCTTCACACACTAGTAATGAAACATTGTCAAGTACAGCAGCAGCTGAGCGAATATGCTGCTGCTCTTTCCCAGCGTGTCGTTTCACAGGAGGATGGGTTTGCTGACTGTACTCTTTCTGGCTCTGGGACATCATTTTGTATTTATTAGGCTTTGGTTCACCTCATTCAGGCAACAGCAGAACTTACCTTGGGTCTGCAGGGACTGGAAGGCAAAGGGGTTACATTTGTTTCGGGAGCTTGTGGAGTTCCTTTTCTTGGTGCTTTCTGCAACTGAAGCAACTAGATATGCAGTCCTAAGTCTCGCAGCTGAGCAGACACCTACTGTGCATGCCCAAATATTGCAGATTTAGGGTTAAAAAAGGGGGGCAGGAGGGGACACAACAGCCAAAGATGCTGACAGGGCTTCCGTTTAAAAGGCAGCTTGCTGTTTCATTGCAGTTCTTGAGGCAAGAAACCTGTCCTCTACAGAAGATACCAGTTGGATGGCTAAGCAGCAACGCTATCTGTGCGGCTGGGGGTTCACAAAAGCTTCCATCCCCTTCTCAACTTTCCCTTTCTGGCTCTTCTTCAGCCTGGGATCTGAACTTGCTGAAGCCAGGGCTGTGGTGGTGGTTGCTAGCAGAGAAATCAAAGCATCAGCGGCCGCATTGGCTGCTTAAGGTGTTCCAGTGGAGCCATCCCTAACTAGCTTTGCATTCTGTATAATACTAGTTTATAACAAACACAGATCTTTAATCTAGGTAAATGCACAGATCTTAAAGCTATGGTAAAGGTCTAGGAAAACAGACTTAGGAACATAACTTTGATAGCTGTTTGCCTAGAGATCTGCTCTCTAATTGTCAAGATTTTCCCACTAGGTCAGCAGGACCTTAGCTATCCAGATCTTTGTTTGGGTGTCTGGGTGTGAATGATGTGGCTCACCCAGAGCCACTGAAAATAAAAGCTGTAGCTATTCAGCATTTTTTTTTTTTTTTCCAAAGATAGGCCACTTTGTTAGGAACAAGGCGTGAGTTTTGGTACTTTGATTCAGACCTGCAAATCGTAAGTGCTGGGCTAAAAGTAGCTCAAAAAGACCCTACATTCCCTAACCTCAGTGTGTGGTGTTCACTTTAGCTTATGACTATCCTTTACTCTTCATCTCTGATGGATAAATACAGGCTCAGCAAACACTATGAACAGGTCTAGTAGAGAAGAGGTGCTGCTGTTTGATCTTGCTGGAGCTCTGCTGCAGGGTGGTGTTTCTCTGGGGTGAGAGCCATCTCTGAGCCTGCGTTTATGAAGAACAGACCAAACCCATTTTTTACTCAGGAGAAGGAGTTAACATGTAAAACAGGAGTTACTGAGGTGGAAGGCAGAGGCTGCAGCCCAGCGGAAAGGCAGCTGAAGGGCTCCTGCTGCTTTTGAAGTTGCTGTTTCATGACGGTAGCAAATCATGTCAATAAGGTACCTTGTAGTATTACTCACATGCACTGCAGTGTAATGAGTAAACTTTTTAAAGGAAACAATCCCCATGAACTTCGTCCAGTATTCAAAGCAACAGTGGTTTTAGTTTTTAAAAACGTTGAAAGGGATCTGCCACTTTCAATAAAGTAATAAAACAAATGAGGCTGCTGTAACATTGTATTATTAGGGAAAAAGTATTTGTTCAAGCTGCTTTTCTTTGCATTCTTCCTGCCTCATGTCTATCTAAGAGTGACCTGTGAGACAGACCTGTTGAAGAACTTCTTGTGCATAGAGGGAATACAGCAAGAAGCAGATTAGATTACTCCTTTGCTGGTAACTAGATAACCTTTAATGGCCCCCCAGCCCTGGAGCTGCTCCGCCAGTCTGGTGGCACTCATATGCTCACTCACCTCCTCCACATCATTCTGCCTCAGTGCTCTCTCTCTGCTGCTTGATGCTGTGTGAGCTGCAAACCACAGTCTTGGAAAACTACTGAGTAACTTGAACACTCTAAAAAATAGTATTTCAAATCCTGGTGCTAGAAAGCTCTGCTACAGTAGGTGAGCTCTCGTGAAAGAGGAAAACATGCCTGCTGGCAGACTCCAGTATGTGACTGACACATACAACACATACCTGTCACTATCATCCGGGAAAACCACTGAATGCAAAGACCCATTCATCAAGTGTGAAACCTTTTCTCTCAGTCCTGAGGAAAAGCAGTGCTTCTGTGCAGACACCGTCCATCGTCCCATGAGCGTGGCCAGAGATGGGGATGATGGGCTCAGGAATAAGAGGCTGAGAGAGTTTTATACCAAGATGCTATTTACTTCCAACAGTCATATTCAGCTGCATTATAACAGATCTATGCAATCCACATGTATACACCTACAACAGTTAATAACATTTTAAAAAAGACACTAATAAATTAAGTACATTTAACTTATATGGGACAATGGTCATTGTGACAGTGGTGGACAGGGCTGGATCTGCAGTCTAGGATCTTCTCTAGGATGCAAATGCCAAGTGAGCAGTCTGGAAAATCCCTCTGGAACCCACAGTCCTCATCCCACACGTGTTAGACCATAACCTGAAACAGCCTTGGAGAATGCACATGCTGGCCTCTGTGCTTCCTGTTCTCACAGGAATCTCTACATTCCTCCATCCTCACAACATGCAACACTTTTCCTTTTCTTTCACTGCACCATTGCATTGTTCCTTCTAGTACGCAAATACTTTTCTGTCAAATATAAAAGCAGACTTCCCTAGAGCCCATCAAAGCCACATCCAACAGCATTTTGTGGCACTTTTCTTGTTTCAGTCCTTCTGTGGAGGCAACCAAATGTGACAGCTTTACAAAAACAGAACAAACTGCAAACATTTCAGATTTAATACAAAGATTTAATAGAGTTCACAGACACTAATGCTCCATCTGGAATCCAGTGACTTTCACACCTTCATGAGGAACAGAAGATGAATCCCACCCCAGATTTTAAGGTAAGAATAGGGATTTTCAGGAGTCTTTGTGTGACACAAGCACAAGCAACAGTGACTTTCAGAGAAGCTTGTTCTCCTATATTGCTTAAATGCCTTGAAAACATCACCCACATCAGGGTAGAGAGTGTGTTTGTTATCCCATGCCTTAAATAATGCCTACTACAGGATAAAGAAACTCTGGAGATGTGAAATGAGAATAGTGATTGACCCTCTCAGCATAGAATCATAGCAGAGTTCAGAGGAAAAACCATCACCCTACCTGTACCGACCCGCAATATAGCAAAACCTCAACAGCTCAGCAGAGGTTCAGTCCTCCTGCTTCCCTTGAAGAATTGCTGCCATGGCAGTTGCCAAAGAGCATGTTCCGTGAGAGCTGCAGTTCTGATCAAAACGAACTGTGTTTAAGGTAATACATCTGTGGATCCCCTGTTAGTCTGAGACAACTGTGCCAGCAGGTTGACATTAACAGCAGCAGTACAGCCAACCATGCTGAGCACCAGGGAAAAAGGAACTTCTGGTTCCAGCAGCTGCGAGCCAACTGCACCATTGACAGCTGCTATTTTTCTTCCATATATGCTGACCATCCAGTCAAAAAGTAAAACCAAGGAGGCATGTGCCTTCAAGGCAGGCAAGGGTGTTACTGTACAGGTACAACTGGAACAATAAACCTTCCACAATGTGTGCACACTAGAGCTCTGCAGTTGTTAGGTTCTCTTAAGCAGGTTCAACTGGAACAGACCTGACCCTCTTCCATACCATTGATAGTGGATATGATCACCATCTGCAACTCCTTCAACTCCCACTTTCCATACCAGGTAGAAATGAGCCTCCTGGTTCTTTGCTTTATCAGCTCCAGAGACTCCTGTTTCCATCTGCCTCTTCTGTTGATGTTTACACCAGAGATCCAGCTCTGCCCCACTTCAGTCTGTGTGACTGTCCTTCTCATCCTTTGGAAGCAGCAGGCTCGACCTGGCTGGAGAGCTGGTGGCTCTCTTGATCACCTCCATCCACCTGTCAAGAAAGGACATGAGAAATGCTCAACCCCTCACTCACAGATGCATCATATCTTCCTTCCATTATGAGCTGTGTCCCTTTCACCAAACCCCACAAAACAGCCACTTTTCTACCTTTCTTTTACAATTCTTTTAGGAAATTAGTTCTTCAAATTAATAGCTTGAGATGTGGTAAATACACCGCAGAACATAGCTGCCTGTCCAAGTAACAGCTCTACCGTGCTTTGAGCTCCAGAGAGCTCTTATAAGAGCAACACTTAAGTGTACATCCATTGTGAAATAGGCATTTTTTCCTTGAAACCACTACGTGAAACTAGTGGATTAAAAAGCACAACCCTGCTGTCCCAGGTAGCTGACATGTACATTGCTTACAAGGGTGTGACACTTACGCAAGGAAGAAGGTGCCACCTTCTCAATAAAACCACACACCAAACCACCAAATAGTATCGGGCACAGCAGGATGCAATGCAAGGGTTTTCAACAGCTAATGTAACAGCAAAGCTTTGTACATGTTGTATTTTAAACATGATTTACTTTGGACCATGTGTGGAAGCCCTCTCAGCACTACTGAACATAATTACAGGGAAAGTAAAGTGAAAAGCAGCACTGCACTTGTTGCTCTCGACCTTCTGTTATAACTCTTTATTTTCAGGAGGAAAGAGTTGGATGATTAACCAGTGAATTAACAGCATATCATATATCTAGACAGAGAAAGCAGAAAATTACCTCTCAAAGGTGTATTTGCTCTCAGCCCTGAAGAAATACACATGGGACTTGAACTGCAGCTTGAAGACATAATCCTTCTGAATACCGTCTGCCTCTACAGGAGCGCTGACTGCATAGCCGAGCAGCGGGAGACTGGCCAAGGGATAATCGTCCTGGAACAGCCCAACAGCCCAGCCCTTAGTGCAAGGCATCCCCTGCCACCCAGCGCATCCCCACCTGCACTCACTCTTGTGTATTGTACAGCTAACACCTTTGTTTTGTTTAGGAGAGAACAGGAGGAGGAGCAGCCTTTCTCTTGTGAGGCCTCCAATGGCTTATAATGAAACGTTTCCCCCATTCCTTTTCACTGGTTTTATGGTTATTTGCTTCTATTCCCCCGCCCACTGCTGTCTCCCCACCTCCCCCTTCTTCCTCCGCTCCCTCTGTCTGGAACGCCAAGCATAGATCTGACACTAAAGTTAAAATATCCTTCCCAAAAGAAATGTGCCTCAAGACAAGAAGCCTTAAGAAAATAAACACAGTTTATTGGGTTAATAAGATGAAGAGGCACCAGTTGCACTGCAGCACAGTTTTTACCAAGTCGGCACTGACTGCATCCCCAGGCAGAAAAATCCCTGATGCCTGTTTAACTGTGCTAAGGCCAGCAGGGAGAGAAACAGACAAAACATTGTGGATTCCCTCACCTCCGTTAGTCACCGCATGAGGTGACATTTTCCCCCTCACCCACAGGACAGTACCATCAACAGAATTGGAAATCACAGAATCCCAGACTGGTTTGGGTTGGAAAGGACCTTAAAGCTCATCCAGTTCCAACCCCCTGCCATGGGCAGGGACACCCTCCACTGGAGTAGGTTGCTCCACGACCCGTCCAACCTGGCCTTGAACACTGCCAGGGATGGGGCAGCCACCCATTTACTCACCTGGTGTGTTTTGTAGAAGAACAAGCAGAAGTTGGTGAAGACAACCCACAGTTTCTGCCAGCCATTGCTATTCTTGAACTTCCTCAGCAAGTATCCAGAGAGCTGGTTCTAGCACAGAATGAAAACTCACTGTGAAACCACAGGTCACTTATCCTTCAGAAAAAGACAGCAGCTGCCATAGATAAAAAGCTTGAGGCTGTTACAATTGCCCTGTGTTTGCTCCCCTGTAGTGAAAGGCCTCCCAGAGACTTCACATAGTGACTGAGTGACTCTATCTTCAGTTCACTAATTCACAACTAACTTCTTATAAACAAATTAGTGATTTCTCTCCATTAACAGCACGTTCCCCTTTATGTGTAAGCTCTCACTGTATGTCAGTGCAATGTGAGGAGGGTGCTGCAGCATCTCATCCCTCCAGCGACTGCTCTCCTTTGTGGCCTGTGGTCAGGGGAACAGTGACAGCCACGAGGGTGACCATCCCTTTAGCCACCCTTTTTTGTGTGCAGAAAAGCCACATAGAGCACACCACATGAGAAGGAAAAGAAAGCAGAAGAAGAAACAGAGGGTGCCATGTGGCAGCTATGCAAAGCCAAGCCCAGTGTGGTAAGCAGGCTACAGGGAAGTTGAACACTGCTGGCTTGGAGTCAGTCACCCAGTGCTTGTGCAGTGGGATAAGGAAACCTATGGCATGGAATGACAGCAAATGGATTTTCTAATTAGAGAAAAAGACAGGATACACAACAGATTTATGCATAGAGAACAATTTGGGGAAACATAAACAAGAGGAAATACACTATATTAATGTTACAAGTCTGCTGCTGTGGCATCCTCACGCCACCATATGTGGGCTCACTGAGCAATTACAAACTGAGCAGCAGTACATTTTCCTTGGCATCTCATGGCTCCTCCCCACCAGCACAGAACTTGAGAGGCATTTTACCTGGATCATGCACAGGTAATCAGACAGGGATAGGCTCTGGTTCCGGTACCAACAAACATGGGTGATTGTGTTGGGCCGTTGGGCCTGACCCAGCAAATAGCGAGGAGGAAGCTCTGGAGAAACAGCAAGAGAGCAGAAAACTGAGCAGAGAAAAGGGGGAGAGAAAGAAAAACAGAACGTTAGGATAAGAGAAGTGATGCAAGAATGACATCTGTTAAAGGAAAATGGATTGTGAAAAATAAAAGATGGATTAGGACATGGAACAGATCAAAGCGAGAGGGAGCTGCAAGAACTCACATGTTTAATCCCAGAGCCTGTAGCAGAGTGGTCTCGTTAATCCAGGTACAGAATAGTAAACTGGTGCCTTTCACATGGAAAAGAAAGGCCTGTTCCCTCCAATAGAAACCACTTTCTTTGCCAGCTAGTGCCCAACTTTGTATCCTAAACCAAGGTAACACCTCTAAGACCTCCTTAACTTAACACTCTCTATACCATGAAAACCCAGGAGCTTCAGTGTCCAACTTTAACTCCTTCCATTACACAATAAGTGCCTTAACAACAGGGCAGAGAAGATAGTAAGGTACAAATACAAGGATGCAGCCCCCTGCCCCATTACTATTTCTAGTTAGTGACCACATTTTTCTCTCCATGGTAGTTAGGGTCCGTCACACTTCTGTAAGTCTTTCAAGCATGCCAGCCTCCAGGAAGGTGTCCTACCCAACTGACCTTGCCATACTGCCACCTGAAGTGAAAGCATAGTTCTGGTGCAAATCGCGCTCTGCATAAGGAGTGCTGAACAGAAATCTGTCTTGAAATCTGCAGGATTCAGTACCAAAACATGCACCAGTGCTGCATCAAGCCATGTTGAATGGTAAGACCCATGGTAACAGCAGATTAGCAGGCACATATTAAGTCTCTTTTGAGCATAACACAACACTGCTGCAAAATGGCACTTTCTAATGCTTGCTGCTCACCCCTACCAGCGAGGGAAGGTCAGAGAAGTCAGATTCTCTTCTTAGTTCTAGGTGCAGTAGAGTAGCTAACCAGACCTCAGTATGGCAGAGTCAGCCTCTAAAGGAAACTGTCATGGGTACGTAACTTATCCTCCAATAAGGCTGATGAAACCCAAAGGAACAATTCATTCCTGGGATATCCCGTGTTTCCTTTAAAATTTGCCTCCTTCAGTGCTTCTGCTGAAGCAAAACCCTGCTGCAAGTAGACAGGAGCATATGTATGCAGACAAAGACATGCACGGAGGAGGGCAAACATGCAGCGGCCTTTTAGTAGCCCATGCTCTCCCATGGATGCAGAGATGCTGCCAAGGCAAAATGGGAGATGGAGTGGAGGATGAGCAGTGGCTGAGAGACCCAGGATGGACAGTGAGACATGAGAGCTGCGCCCTGCAGGTACCTCAACAGCCACACTGTGGTCAGTCATGGAGACGCTCGTGTTGCGGTACCAACACACGTGCATGGTTGTGTTGGCACGGTGGTGGCTCTGCCTGTCCAAGGAGCTACGAGAAGAGTGTATGTCATCTTCGGACTCCTGTTCTAGAGAGACCTCATCAGAGGATCCTGGGGGAGGAGAATTCAGCAGTGGTTTAAGAAAATTGTGCAATACAAAGAGCAAGAGAAGCAGGGATTCCTGAGAAAAACCCTATTTCAGTTCCAATGGTCCAGTTTTAAAATACATCAACTTGAATTGGTTGATGTATTTTAATAGCTCCAAAACAGCTCCAAAAGACCACTCTAAGCAGACTGTTCTGGCTTTCATTACTCAGTTCTGCTCGGGGCAGCTGACTCAATACTGTGTAAAACAAACAAAAAAACCCCAGACTTCATCTTCAGTCAATCCTTAGTGAGGAACAGGAAGAAGCGCTCCAAGAAGGCATACAACATGTTTCAGCACATCTGTAACACTACCAGAGACAGGCACAAGAATGCTGACCTATAAAAGCTGATCTCCAAACCCATCCCATTTCTGGACAAGAAAATATACTACATGGTTAAACTGAGAAAAATACATGTAAGAGATGAATAAGGACATTATAAAATCAACAATTCTGCAACAGGAGCATCTCTGCTGCATTTAAAATTACCAGGAACGTCAGTCTAGGAAGACAAGCATATTTCTTTTGATTAAAACAAAAGCACAATTAACTCCTAATTACCATATAAATTATAAAACTACGCCATTCATGAAATCAAATTCACAATAGGAAAGATGAAAAGTTCATGACAACTGATGCTTTTCAAGAAGGCAGGGAACAGCACTTACTGTTGGAGCGATTGCATACTGAGTTCTCCAGAAGTGTGTCAGATTTCTCAGTAGATTTCTTGGCCATTTCAATTGCCATGTTTAGGTCTTCCATCCACTTCCCCATCTCCAGGCGGGTACTGCAAGCCAAACAGTGAAAATGGAGATCACCTCAGCCTCGAGCTGTGACAGAGTGCCAGTGTACTGACAAAAGGCACAAGTCACTGCACACGACAAGGAGCAGTCTCTTTCCATTAAACAAATAGAAAAAACTTCCTCCAAAGTATGAGCTTTCCATATAGGAAGCTGTCCTCATGCAACTTTCACCTCTATTTTCAGGCCTTGAAACAAGACTAAAATAACCATTTAAAACTTGGACTTTACAGCAAAGAGAATAGAAAGCCAGAAGGCCACATAATATTACCCTCTGGAGCTATATGACTCAGAAGAGGAATTACGTGGCCTAAAGCATCTCTGTTCTTCATACAGCCAGCCTCATAGCTGATGGCTTGTTTCAAACATGAAATCATGTTTTCACTCCAAAAAGCATTTTGAAGATGGGTGGTATGACCATCCCGGAAATGATTTCTTTTCTCAAAGGACAAAAGGCAACCTGAAAGACAGCACATCTTTTAAAGGGGATATCGGATTTATTACCTGACATCTCAGGCAAGTAAAACATAGAGTGCAGGAGGTTGAGGACTTCTTTCACCCCACATACTTTCCATTACAAGATCCATGGCCCAAGCCATGATAACAGCTTCCTTCATGAGATCCATGCAGGAACTTTCCCCTCCTTACATCCATTAGCATGTTCTTGATTTTGATTCTTTTTGAGTTTCTCGAATATTTGTATGTTTAGATTTCATTTCGTCTCCTGCTTTATAGCAGTTGTTTAAAGAATTGCACTGTTAGCTAACTACAAAACAATACAACGACAATAATAGCAATACAAATGTTATTTGCTGCTGCTGTGTGTTTAGTAACACACCATTCAGTGAAGTATATTACTTGTTCCCAAACCACAACACTGATAAAGGAGCATCCTGTGTTTGTTCTGAAGTCATGTTTTCCAGAGGATGCACAAAACACCCCCTGGCTCTGCACCAAACAATTGGAAAAGTAACTCTTTGGAGAAGGTATCTACAAAACCTACAGGCACCTGACGAAAAGAAATGTTACCTTGCTGCCACCACTATGGTTTTTTGTGCTGAATAGATGGTGAAGCAGTGTGGGACAGCCCATTCATTCCCACTCTCCTCCACCTGCAGAAAAAGAAAAGGTTTTTCTCATCACTGCTCAGTGATGGATAAACACTTAACCCTGTCCTCCTTGGCTAGCTAGGAATTTCAGTCAAATACAATTACAACCCGGTTGCAGTAAGTGCAGAACAGCTACTTTTTTAATGAATACCACCTATTACAAGTCTAATTTGGCTCTCTATGAACATTTATATTGTGCATTTCTACTGCCGCATGTCTAGCAGCACACCACCACATCCAACAAGGCAAGAAAAAGAGGGTTCTGACCAGGATTCAGCTTATTACTTACCGGTGGGTCGAGCACTATCAGCTGCAAATCAAACACAGAAAGAACAGTCCCATTAGAATAGGGGGGTGGGCAGACAGGAGGACTGCTTAGATGCCTAGGTGTGTGTACAGGGAGAAAATGCCAAGACAAATCCCAATTTCCAGATCAGCCTCTTTCAGAAGACTGAAAATGAATGGTCAAAAGGGAGTGGTCCAGCTGTTTTGCTAAGAATGGAATGAACAGGTTTATTGCCTGCAGAAAAGTGTTTGACACACAGACTGTTGTCAATGGCCTGGGAGCGGTTTGTGGCTTTGGATCTGATGTCCTGAAGAATGCCTCAACCTGGTTCAAGGCAAATTTCCCTCATGCTGTGATGCAGCTTGAAACCACTTACCAACATGCCATGCAGAGCAAGATGTCCGTGAATTTTGAACTGATTTGTGCCTGTAACCCCTTTGCTTGTGTACAGTAACATATCTGAGAACTGAAAAGGCAGGGAGAATGCAATCAGTATTGTGGAAAACACAGGCAGGGCCAAGTATTTTTTTGATATCTTTTTTAAAAATCTGTTAAAAGACCACTGTAGACACATGAAAAAAAAAACCAAAAACAAAAACCCAACCACCACCATTTCTCAGTCAGTTTGGCCCAATTTCCTTAAAACCATTCTTTACTTACAAGAAAGGCAATTAATTTGTTAAATTCCATTAAAACTTCATGCCATTAAGGAAACAAGTTGAACAGACAGTATTGTCACAATCACACCCTCTCTACACATTCCTCAGGGTGAGCTGTCAGTTACGATTGCTGATTTTCATCACAAGCACAGGAAAGCACCCTTTCACAACAACTTTATCTTGAAGACTTTGTGTTTATGAAAGCAACACCCACCAGAAAGAACATCCGCTGCTGTAAACCTTTCTTAGTGAGCTTATACAAGCAACCTTCCCGGATAAATTCCTGCAGTGGAAAATAAGAAATTAGATAAAGCTTCATCTTTTCCAAAACCAGAGAATTTTAATAGTTCTTTTTTCATCCCAGAGGATACAGATGTTGATTGGTGCCCAGCAATGACTGCTAAACAGATTTGTAGAATGCCAGATGACACCTTTCCTTCTGTTTTGTAACATGAATCAGCTCCTTGCTGCAGCCAGCATTTAAATCAATGAAGCAAGAGAAGGAAAAGTAGCAGAGTTCCTGTTGGACACCAGCAGTTCACCTATTACACTTACATCCCACTGCAGTGATTGCCATAGCATCCCAAAAACACACGCGATGCTCCTGTACTTATGCTCAGTATATCTACCAAAAACAAAGAAACAAAAAAAACAAGCAGGAACTAGACAAAGTACTACAAAATGAGAGTCACTGATACCAGTTTTGCCCAGTGACGTGGCACTCTCCATCACTATGTTCTCCATGCAGTCTCAGTTCACAGACAGAGATTGCACCAGACAGACATAAGCTGACCTGGAAGTGGATTTCCCTATTGCGTACATGACATACTGCTTCCCGCCCAAACACAGAGCACTGTACCCTAGTGTACACCCAATATATGCTGCACTGGAAACACAAAACTGTAGCCAGAGTCTTAAGCAGAAGCATTTCTGATCTATTCCCTACAACATCAAAACTCCATGGAACCTACTATGAAGACAATTATGCAAAGCCTTTACAGTAGTTCCATAATACAGAAAGGCAGTGATGGCAAGAACATCCTTCAAAGGCACTTCCTTGGAGATAAAAAAAATAAAGGCTCTAAAGACTATGCAAAAGCACTTACTCTGCCAGGAGCTGTGAGATTATCTATACCAATCAAGTCGTGTTGCAGCTCTGTGAGCTTCTGGAAATTCTCCAGACGGATGAGACTGTGCTGCAGCTGAGACGTCATTTCTGTGACTTCCTTCAGTGCATCTACAAGGCAAATGGCACCAAGGGGATTGGAACAGAGCAGACAAACCCAGGCCACCAATTTTATCCCTGGAAAACTGAATCTGAAATTTATAGCCATGTTTAGAATAGGACAGAATAGTTTGGAAGGGACCTACTGCCAACTTCTTAAAGCATATTTTATATCTACCTAGGGACAAAATGGAGACTAGCAATCAACTTCATAGGGCTTCCTATGCTTTTGGAGATTACTGCATATCTCAGATGCTGCACATATAAAAAGTGTTTACCACATACCCAAAGTAAATTAAAAAAATCAAGCCAACTATTTCTGCCAAAGATTACTTTATAAATGAATGAAATTTACTATGGAATCTTTAACACTAAAAACCAATTATTTTTTGTCACATTTGTACTTACAACCAACGAAGAGCTCCTAAAAAACCTGCACACACACCCCTTGCTAAAAAACGGGACAAGAAAAGGACTTCTTCTCCAGCTTTGGTGGAAACACTAAGATCCATCAAGATTAGCCATGAGAAAAACACTTCCTGAAATGTTCAAGGCTGAGTTGTCCGGGGCTCTGAGTAACCTGGTCTAGTGGAAGGTGTCCCTGCCTGTGGCAGGGTGGTTGGAACTGGACGATTGTTAAGGTCCCTTCCAACCCAAACCTTTCTGTGATTCTATGAATGCCAGAAAAAGCATTCATTCCATATGAAGAGAACAGTCCATAGCTAAGGTATCTTTTGCATTTTCCAAACCAGCAGTTAAGGCAAATTTCTACCTATTGGAAAAAGCTTAGGAGCCCTGCACCAGAGCATGGTAGGAGAGTAGGGAAACCTGGTACCAAAACCCTTCAAGAAAAACAAAATTAATTTTAAAACATAAGCTAAACACTTTTTTTGCCTTTAATTAAGCTGCCTCCTGCCAGTTTTCTGCTATTCTACTTGGTGTATTCTGGTTGGGGGTTTTTTTAGAATGTTTAGATTGTAGGATTCACTAAGCAGTTGTGTTTTCAACAATCTAAATTAAAGTTCCTGTGTATTCTGTGAAGCTGCATGTGAGAATTAGAGAGGTCCTGAGTGGAGAAAAAGCATTTACATCAAATTTGTAGATGTAATGCTTGTCTTTCCCAGGATACAGGCAAGACTGTGTGTGTACATGGGAGTGGGTTTCTGCCTAGCACATATACAGCTGAGAGCTCACTCACTCCGGCAATCGGCAAAGTCCCGGTGCTCTACTGTGTAGTGCTTGCAAAGCCTTCCCAGGATCAACTTGTAGTGCATCAGTCTCTGAATTGGTTTGAGCAGAAATGTGTTAAGGGGCAGGTAGCAAACCTTCTGCAGCTCAAACTCCTTATAAACCATTTCCAGCTTCTTTAGGCGTTTTGTTGCTTTCTCCAGTTCTGTCAGGACCTCATCGTGCTTCTGCAAATAACTGGTAAACTCCTGTTGAATTGTACAAAAAGTTATGTGGATCAAAGAAAAGCAGTCTTTAATAGATTTCACAGAGAATAAGAAAAAGCAACTATTTGTGATTTTAATGGAATAATTACTCCACTGCTATAGCACAAGTGTTAACTGTTGCATGAAGGCACTCTAAATGAAGGTGACTTCATTTCAGAAGAAACTACTCTGCAGTTAAAAAAGTATTTATATTTTGGATTAAACAACCTTATGAAACAGTGTCTCTATAGGGGAGAGTTCAAGCTGTGCAAATAGAGGAGAGACAGTGAAGCTAATTAAATAATTGTTCTTTGTCTTCTGCTGAAAAAACAATAAACAACCTTTTCTCAGGGTAAATGTAGGTAGTTAGACAAACAACAGTGGTATAACGCCTTACTATAAATATTTACGGTTTATTTGCTTTATCAACAATAATTGTTTGCAAGTCACTTCAGGTTTAGTGGAAATAGTAAGCCTTGAACCCCTATCTTTTATCTACCTTCAGAGTACGCATATTCCTGAGCATGACATCTCCAATGCGTTGATAATCTCCTTTCACGTAAGCGTTGGTTTTCCCTTCCCTGAAGTACACATAAAGGGATAAAATAAGGCAGCACAGTACATAGGAGATCAAGAAATTTCAATTTCCTTCCTCTACCTTCCCTTGTACTTCAAAACATAATCTTTAAGAAACACTTCCTGGTTATCTGTGTATTTGAAGGGCTGCTTTAGTAAAATAAAGGGAAGCAGTACTAACATTAATGCCTCCTTTATCCATTTATAGCCACTTGACATTCCCATTTCACTGTTCGGGTTGAAAACTTGGTACAGTAAGTATGGAAGCTACATGAAATAACAAACAAAGCCATGCACAGAAAACTATGAAAGGAATAGATAAGAACTTGTGTGAAAGTCTGTTTGGGAGCTAAACCTCTCAGACTTCTGAATAAATATCATAGCATGATCCCACCTGCACTTATTTTGATAATTATCTTTTGAAGGATAACTGTATTCTAATATATTACATCTCAGGTCAGGAGAAAGTCATACAAAGTTTAAAAGACTGAAAACATGCTCTTCAAAATAAGTTGTGCTGCAAGAACTGAACTCTAGTCGTTCACAAAACCACAAAAACACAAAAAAGTGTTTCCTAGATTTTCACCTGCAGATTCATTAATCAGGTGTTGAAAAACACACGTTATCTTTTTGGCCTTGTGTTTCTTCTCTTTTCTAAGGCTACAGAGACAGCACCAGGTTATATTGGTGGTCAGACTCAATGATCTTAATGGTCTTTTCCAGTCTTAGTGATGATAAAAACCTTGGTCTGGTGTACAAATCATATGATTCTATAACATGTACAAGGCAGTAATCGAAAAATGGCCTTTGAAAAATGTATTTAGTACTTTTTAAAAAACTACAATGTATTAAAAGACTTTTTCCTTAATTCTACTTACACAGAAATACCAGTTCAAAAAGAGATCAAGTACGGTTTTGAAGCAAGGACATAGGAAAAGGTTGCCCTGCTCGTTGCTCATTCACCGCAATATTAATGCTTACCAGAGTGATAGCCTCTGCTCAATCTCCTTCAGAAAGCCTCGATGAAACTCATAAATCGGGTCTATGTTAGAGAAGAGCAATGTCATCAGGCCCTCTGGCATAGCGTTCTCCTTGATGACTGCGCTGCGAAACCACTGCCGGAAAAATCATACATGAGACACATCTCTCCATTTACGAAATTAATTGCTAGCATAAATGTTCCTGCTCCTGCAGCAGTGGGGGAGGAGAAAGTGTGTGCACAGGGAAACAGCAGGAAGGAAGGAGAAATATTTAGGGAAGACGTAATTTGGAAAGGCTTAAAAGTCCTGTGGAAATTATTCAGTAGCTGGAGACATCTTGTTGCATGTCACATACTGCACTTTTTAATTGCTTTCAGTTCCCTTTCTGGGAGGAATGAAAATATTAAAAAAACCCAAAAACTAAACCTCTGAGGTACCAGATGTTCTCCCATCTTTTAGGAGAAGTGCTGGGAAGCCTGTAAGAGGAATCTGAGTGAGATGATGCTCACTGAGCTTGCAGAGAATACCTCAACTGAAGACATACAGAGTTAAGGGACTCAGGCTTCTCTGATGAAATTAAAACAAGAGCTTATAGAAATGCAACAGTAAAAATGTTCAAACCTGGACTACGTGAACAAAGGCTCTTAAAGAAGAAAAGTTGGAAGCTCAAGCTGTCCTCCAAACAAGGACTTGCTTGTCCATTCTTGGTGAAAGGAAGGGAAAAGGAAGAGAAAGAAAAAGAAGGAACAAAAAAAGACAAAACTCAAACCCCTAAGGATCCTTAACACCGTCTGCAATTGTCATCTGCTCTCACAATCTGAAGGGACAAAGATAACAGCTTCCCCAGGAATTCTGCAGAGCTGATAGCTAGATTACAAGCAGAGCTGACAGCAATGACTATCACTGAAGCTGAATGCAAAACATATTTGCGTTCACAATTTTCCAAGTGAAAGTTTGCCTAAGACATCAAAATGACATGTGATGTAGCTGTTGGAGGTAACCATGGAAGTCCAGAGAAGGTAACTGCTCCCCAACATGAGGGCATATGTAACAAGGAAGGCAACAACTACATGGCTCGTGGATTACGTTTTATCATTGGATTTCCCTCTTCTGATATCTGGAAGGAATTCCAAATTTTCCCAAATTAACAATTACTAATCTGTTAAGAAAAGGAAAATCGTTAAAGAATGTTAAAATCCCTTACCACTGTAATAACTTCCAGATCCTTTAAGTATGTCCGTTCTGTAGCAAGAATCTCCTTTGCTATGAAGTATGCCTTGTCAGCTGGATAGCGCTGGATAGAATACACAGTAATCAATCAAGTATTAAAATACAAATGCTCTATTTATTACTAAGCACAAACTTGAACCTTACATTTATTTCCCCTTGCAGTGTGCAAATGCAGCAATTGACTACTAACATGGCACCTCTGTATTCAGTACCATATTCTCAAATACTGACTTTACTATAAAATACTATCTATATTTCAAAATTATTAAAAAAATAGTCAATTATATGTCAGTTATATGAGCTTTCATTTAAAAAATCAAGGGAGCACTCTACAAAAATATGTAAACAGTTATTCCCATTTTCCTAGGTTTTAAACACTTCCCTAATCAAATGAAGTACAGCAGACTTGCAATACAATCCTTTTCCAAAAGCATTCTATTTCCACTTACAGCTTTCACTCAAACCTTTCAAATATTATAATGATTAGTTAAAAAAACACAAAAATCAAACTGTATCAATTGTAGGCTGCATGGTTGCTCCAGGGCTGCTATTTAAGGAAAATAGAAGATAGAATGGACGTGGAAGCACAAAGGAATGAAACAGTGAAAATGTTTCTGCAGTTGCAATGAACCAAAAGCAAAGCTATCCTGAAAACATACATTATTAAAACAAAGAAAGAAATAAAAAATCACATAACTAATATTAAGGAACTAATCACATTTCAAGCTAAGATGCTGCTTAGTCTCTTTAGCTCACTACACTGTGCTGCAGGTTTGTGCCAAATCCTTGCTTGGTGAAAATAACTGACAGCAAACCCATTTGAGTTATGTCAAAATCTGGCATCTATCTTAGCCCTTCCTGAGGGTAACAAAGCTTTGACAATTTTTTCTCCCCCTTTCCTTGTATGTACCAAGTTAAAAAAGAATTCTCTTTTGAGAGACACTTTGAGATGCCCCCCAGCAACATCATTACAGCTACTCAGCGGTACCAAATCCTCTATTTCAATATTGCTCATGGAGGTGTTTTCCTGGTTGCTCAGTAATGTATCTAATGAGTCCATCTTAGTCACTTAGAATCCCTGGAGGTGTATATCTCCAAATAACTGATTTTGAGAAACTGTTTAGCTTATTTCAGGTTATTTTATGGTAGTTTTCATAATCCCAACATCAGCACCCTCCCTAAAGAAACCAGAGGACATACTCGGATATTTTTATTTCTATTCACACCATAGCCATCCTCTTAACTTTAAAGTACCTGCCTCAGGTACATGGTGGAATGGAAAGTCCTAACTAATTTTGGCTTCAGGTTTTTTTTATATTTTCTTGGGCTGTCTACCTGTCTGTAGTGTCATAAACCCTCAAAATCCTGTTTAACCTCAGCGGGCATCCTTCTCAAGCAGCCTCTTCCCAAAGGATAGGACCATCATCTTCCTGACCTCCCTGGAGACTGAGGTGACACAGCCATTTTATCTCACCACCTTCCTCCTGCAGCACTTACCTGTCATGGAACACCCTGCTAATAAATCAACAGAACAACACACACTAGCTTGGCTAGAACTTCAGAAGTATCTTACATTATATGGGAATTCTGCTAAAGTGTATGTTCTTCGTGTAACACAGCTTTGTGTACACTGCCTCCCGGGCTCTGCAGCGGATACTATAGTGCACAATGCCCTTAAGGGACTAACTTCTATGGAAAAAATAAGTGTTTCCCTAGGCAAAGCTGGGTCATGGAATCAACCACAGGCTGTGACAAAAGATCACAGGGAGCCTCATCTCTGTAGACACAGCAGAGATGACCCAACTAATGCCCATACGTTTTCTTTTTTTCAGTCTTTTGGATCCTAACTGAATCCCCTGTGCTAAATTCTGGCAGCAGCTATGAGGCAGACCCTGAACCAGAAGCACCAAAAAGTGTAAGGCTGTCAGAGTGTAACAGAGGTCCTACCAAACACCTTCATTACTGGTCAGGCACTGCAAGAGGAAAGAAAATCAATTCATGACTAAAAAAAAAATAAACACAAGAACTCTCTAAGGAGGCAGTCTGCTTCCAAAGTCCAAAGAAAACATTCCATAGCAGGCATCTAGGCAAATATCCCCACATGGAAAAACTGTGTTTCAACATATTACATACACAAAATCCCACCTGGAAACCTTCAAAAACTCTCTATATGCAGCTAATAACAAATGAACAGCTCACGTTGAGTGAAAAGTTCTATTCTGAACTCATAAGGCCAAAACCAAACGACTGTGTCACAATGTCACAAAACTATCAAGTCTGGAAATAAAGAGCAAGTCCATGCACACAGAAACTACTCAACTTTTGACTTCAAAGTCTAGGCTTCAGCAGTGATAAAAATAACTCTGGGTAGGGGAAACTCACAAAAAAAAGACAAAACAAAAAAACCCCAAAAATGCAAAACAAAAAGCCCCGCACCATAAAAACACAGCTTTTGTGTACTTTCCAAGTAGGTTGCTACAACCAACCTCCATTAGAAAAGAAACAGGGAGACATTTACCAGTAAAATGTGACTTAAAAAGTAACAAAAAGTCTCAGCTTTCACAAGGCAGCACCGACTGGGAAACCCACACTGTAAGAATTGAAGAGTTTACATACAAATACCATGAATAAGCAGGTGGAAATACAGTGGCGTCACTAGCTTTAAAATCAGTCCTCTATTAATAGAGATATTGTTAAGATTATGTTTTTCTCCTACAATAAAGCTGTTAAACTGCTGTGAGGTTCAATTTGGTTAAATTTAACCCATTTAACACTGGTTTCTGCCTGGGCTTGTTTAACTTAAAATCCTGTATTCAAATGGGCATCGAAGCCTTAGAAGTCTCTGAAATGACCAAGATTAAGACCAATTAAAATAAAAAAGTTCCCTTTCAACATTCTTTTATAAATTCATTTCAGCCTGAATGAGAACTCAAGCTGCTGAAATATCAGATTGGGCTTCAGCATTTAGGACAGATAATGCAGTCACTGCTTGTATTTCCAGGTTATACTATTCCTGCTATAAGGAAAAATGAGAAGAAGTATATAAAAAAATGAAAAAACATTGACAACTAACAGCAAAGTGATCTGTCAAAGCTAAAACTCTATCTCAAAAAGCCTAAATAAGATAGGCAGGCTGAAAATTGGGGGTAGGTGGGTGGAAACAACCCACACAGTTGGATTGTTTCCATCTTAACTCCCAGTTGTTGGTTAAACCTTCCTCTCTCCTATAAGCACTTAAGCACACTGGTCCCGAAAGCAGAAGCCGAGATGAGACCTACACCAAGGTGTCAGTGGAGATTCCCATCACAACAGAGAGAAACACAGACCTGACCAAACCTTTAGCACTGGAGTTTTTAACACTAACCAACAAACACATCTCTTCTACCACAACATGTTATGCAATCAGGAATAAGTGACCAGCAAGCACAGCTCCTCACTGGAAACCATCTTGTCGTGTTATTATCTTACCTTACGTTTCATCTCATCATCCTCTTCTACCCTGGCACCGCCAGCATCACTAAGGACAGGACTCAGAAGAGGAGATGAACCCTGGCCAGCTGTGTTCAAGTTCACCTGAAACGTCGGGTTCAAGCCCAGGGGATTCTTCAGCACGAGGGAAGAGAGCTGAGAATGGTCCACTGGGAGGCCTGGTGGGAAGAGAACAGGAAGATGGAGTGGAAAAGGAGAGAAAATGGTTTTGAAGATAGTTACTGTAAAGCATAATTGCAATCTCACATTATTAAAAAAGAAAAAAAGAAAATAAAGAAAGAAGGCATATACAGCCAAAAACGTAAGCCTGTATCTCAAAGCAAACCGAGTGTTCCCTGCAACCCAGCAGTTATCTGGCAGCACAATAAGGACAGACACCTTAACAAGCGTAAAGGTAAATTGCTTAGTGTCTCAACAAAATGCTTAAATCGACTGGATTTTGTTGAGTAGCACCAGGGTTTGCAACATGGGATTATACTGCAATAACAAGAACACAGGTTTTCATTTTTCTTTTTAAAAATCAGAATTACTTTTCACTCCAGCAAAAAGTTAGGACAAATTATTCTGCTACTCTCCACTCCAGAAGATAAAAGCTCATTAAAAATACATTCAGAAATCTCCAAAATTATACCAATGGGAGAGGAAAACACATAGCTACACAAAAAGGGACCATACAAGACATTTCATTCCTGGCTATTCTAAGTATTTGAACAGAATATTCTACTGATCGCAAAAGGAAAACCATTTTGCAGCACTATTAACTAGAGGGACACAATCCTCTTGCATGGCAAAACCTGTCTGAAGCAGAAGTAATATGTCCTGCTTTGCTTTTATTAATTGTCAGTATTTTTTATTCATTATTTCATTTGCAGACCCATTAGAGATTTCTGATACCTAAGGTATCATTACATTACAGAATTTAAGCCTCTGAACAGCAGTGTTCACAGTGAAAATAACTTTCAGGAAGATCTGCTGCTTTCTGGGACCAAATGAAGGCCACAGACACTCCAGTTACTCCCACAATGCCCTCAGAATTCCTACCTAACCTCACCTATGTCTTTTTTCCTATCTTCCCTGCAATAAACAGACAAGCTTTGTCAGATCAGGCAACTGAATGGATACCAAGCATTTCAGCACCTACAGCTTTCACTGCACTGCTCAAACACTCAGCCATGCTCACAACCCTCCCCAGCATGATTTTGTTACATGCCTGATGTGTGTTACCTGCCTGAACAAAACCCAGAAAAATCAACAGTGACGCAAAAAATGTCAACTCATCATTTCCCAGACTACCTAATAATCGTCCCAAAAGACTTTTAATAAAAAATAATTAACAATCAGCCCCTATGGCTCTCCAGTATCTCCTGACACAGAGACAGGGCATGTGTGCCAGAGAAGAAGGAGTTAGGAGCTGTTTGATTCCTTCCTGGCAGGAGTGGCTGCTGCTCTCTGGCTCAGGAAGCAAAACCACCACAAGGCGCCGGCAGCTTGACAATAGCGAGGGAGCCCGAGTGCATATTTTCACATTGACAAATGCAGGAAGCTAAACAGTGCTGCACTCAGTCACCTGGAAGAGATTCAGATCATTGAGGCGGAGGAGTTAACTATTAACATACTAGCCGAGCACAGCCATTCTAGACCAGATTTTTGTTTCTGCGTGAGCCTTTTCTTTGTTCCCACTGCTTTTAATATTACCACTGGAAAGCAACAATGTCTGGCATTTGTTTCACATCTGTGGGGACAGGAGTTTATTGGAAGTTTGCTTTTACATGCCAGGGATGCTGAAACAACAGCTTAAAAACAAAGCTACAAGCTTACAGGAGTGAGGAGCTTTAAATTCTTGGGAGTTTAACATGATGTTGCAGCATGTTCCAGAATTTGTAACTTGAATTGCTTCTGGACAAAAAGAATGTTCAGATACCAGGGGAGCAAAAGTGATAAAACTTGCTCCAAACTTTGCTGCCTGACTAGTTCAATCAGTTGTTCTCGTTTTTATTAGCTCTAATAGGAGAAGCTGGCCATTAAACTCATTTCAAACACTTGCTCATTTGTATCTGACAGCAAGAACCCTGTTGCCCAAAGCCAGAGTGATTTATGAAAATGAGAGGCACATGAAGCTCCTCAAGAAGCCTGAAACGACAACCAGCACCCAAGATGCCAAAGCACAGGGCTTCTCCTCCCCACAAGCCTACAGATGCAAGTGCTTCTCACTTCTTCAGAGACAAGAGTGTCCTTCCCCTGCTCACCAAGAGCTAGAGGAGGACACCCTGTAGCTTGATGTGTATTTCCTGAAGACAAAAGCAATAAAGAATTCAGGAAGGAGCTGTTACAGCTGCAACTTAAAGCTGTCAACTAAAAATAGCAAATTCTGCAAAGGACGTTTCCAAGATTAATGTGACTTCTGAAATCTATCTTTTCTAAAAAGGACTGCAAAATGTCAGGAGCAGATTAGGTTATCTTTCTGCTAACATTTGTTTAAGTGTTTGATAAAAACTCAATGTGATGGCATATCCTGGCAGATGACGTTACAATCATGTACTGAAATTTTCATCCTCATAATCCAACAGTATTTCTCCACTAGAGCAACAAGGGGGGGGAGCTCCCAGTCAAGCAGGTAAGATGTACAGCGATCCTCTATTCTCCGGGGAAAGGATGGCAAAGGAAGAATCCATGCAACAGTCAGAGCAGCCGTAGCCATTTCGATAGCTGTTCAATGTAGAAAACTTGTAGAAATATTGGTGCAAAGATGAAAACGCAGGCACCATTTCCTCTGACACCAAATCCTGGTGCACCGAGCTCTTCCCCACCCTGCAGGCACCAGCATCTTCCAGTATATTAAAATGGGCTATTCTTGAGAGGGACGTTTCCATGTTTCAACACACTGCATTCTTCAATCTAAATTCTATCTCTACACAGAAACCCAGATTTGAGTGCAAACCTTGACAAAAATCAAATGCAAGTACCGGTTCTGTAAGCTATATGATTGAATGCTTAAAACAATCCAAAGACAGAAAACAAAAATAGTATCCCAATAACAAAGAGCGTTACTAGATGTCCTAAAAGCTATGTGAAGTTCAAATGTTAGCAATTTCCTCCTGAGAAAGGTGTGCCTCTGGTTGATTCCCTTTAAAGCTGTAACTTTATTACTATATTGTTACTACTACTGCTTCAAAGAGATTACATTCTTTTTATGCTAAAGCAGTGGCTGATCGTAAGATGATGGGAGCCTGCCCAGAGTCCCCCATGCTGAACCCATCGCACACACAGACCAAATTATTATTTCTACAGTGCAAGCATTCTGGCAAGCTGATGTCACAGAATCACAGAGCCAAATACAACTGAAATTGTGGAATATCCTTTGTTTTCCTTATTTCAAAATATCACAACTGATACATTTTTCCCCTGCAAATCTCCTCTTTAAAATGATGAGGGATAGCTGGGAGTTAGAGAATTTTAAACAAACAATCAAAAACAATCTAAGAGCCTAAAAAATACCTAAAAGACTTCAAATTCAAAGATCTCCTTTTTTGTTATCCTCAAATGATCATATTAAACATTAAAATATTTCTATAGCACTTGGCATGTGCCCCAGTGAAACTGCATGTAGCTGTGAAGTCATACCTACATGTGCTACTGTAGGAGAGTCCAGTTTTACAGTTGTGTCAGGATCTGAAATGACCACCCTTTTGCCACCTTCCCCTCCCCATCCAGGCAAGAAAGAATATGTATCTGTTGTTATAAACTGCAGACTGTAAACTTTTATACTGTCACAGTGTGTATTTGGTCTGGCTGCAATGGGGAAAATTAACTCTATCTCAGGCAGACCCAATACAGCATTAAACAGAAATCTCTTGATGCTACAGTAACAGCTTTCATCTGCCTGGGCTCAAACTACAACTGCACAAACTTCTTTCTTTGCAGCATCACTGAAATGAATGGCCAGGGTTTCAACCTAAATTAATTCTCCACTACGAGAGTGGTGAGACACTGGCTCAGGTTGCCCAGAGAAGCTGTGGCTGCCCCATCCCTGGCAGTGTTCAAGGCCAGGTTGGACTCAGGGGCTTGGAGCAACCTGGTCTAGGGGAAGGTGTCCCTGCCCATGGCAGGGGGGTGGAACTGGGTGAGCTTTAAGGTCCCTTCCAACCCAAACCAGTCTGGGATTCTGTGATAAATCACTTATTTATGTTAGCTACAGATTTTCCTTAAGTCTATATAAAATTGGTTAAGTTTGCAACCAAAACCATTGAAGTTTATCACTCTATTACAGGGTTTGAATTTGATTGAACTTGCTATGTTCTAAAATGTCCTTATGTTCAAAATGAAGTCAGAGACAATTCTGACCAATAATTCCTCCTTGATGAAAAGCAAAGTTTTTAGAAGTTAAGTGTTTTCATTGTTTTATAACTCATGATAATTTAAAAAGCATAATAAAAATTGTCAATTCAAAGTAGTCCAGAAACCTGCTCTGTTCACTTAAGCAAGTACTACTGGCTTTTTTTAAGCAAATGTTTGCATGATTCAGGAAAAGAGGATTTACCCATACATTGGTCACAGACTCCTGAAGGAGAACTTTCAACCTAGATAACATGCAATTGCCTCCATACCTTATGCTTGTAACGAAAGACAAGCTTCCAATAAAACCAAATATATGGTCTAAGAGTCTGAGGGACATACCCAGTTTAAGAGATGTCTCCATAATAAACATAATTCTGATAATGAATTCTGAACTCCTAGTCCCCTTTGTATCCCAACCAAAAGGTCTGCACAAACCTACAATTTGAAAACCACACACCAGTATTTGCCCCAGCTGTGCTCTACTTTCAACAAAGGGGTACAGGAGGAAAACTGTCTGGAGAAATCTGTTAATAAAACTCTAAGATGCCTTGGCTAGAAGAACAAATATTTATTCTATTTCAAACACAAGGGTAATAAAAAAATAAAGCTAAAAAGCCCATGTTGTCATTTATATCAAAGTTGTCCTTATTTTATTGCATAAACAATTAAAATTATGAATTAGTACAAATCTGTAGGTTTATAACCGGCAATCTGAACAGACACAAAGAGAGTAAAAATCCCAACAAGTAATTCAATAAAACATTTATGGTATAAGAGATAAAGTCCAGGAGATCAAGAGATCAATTAAAAAATTCCAGCCCTCTGTTTTCTTAACGTAAGCCTTTCCTGAAAAGAGTAGCACCTATTTAACTGGAGAGTCACTCTAACCAAGGCACCTGTATGTACATGGTGATAAACGGGCATTTGGTTTCTTAGCAACCCGCAGGGCTGTCACAAGCCATGCTCTCAGCTGCCATTGAGCAATGGCACAGTATTGTGACCTTGCAAAATTGAGAGAAACATCTTCCCACAAAACAGGTTCAATTAAACATGCTCTAAATTTGAAACCTGAAAAGCTACAGCTCAACTGGTGGACTAATCCCACGAAAGCCCAAGATTAGATGACCAATATGTGGACTTTATGGTAGGTTTGGAACATTAAGTCTCCCCATATTCATATAGAGAATGTATATGTATATCCATACATATACACACAGCATTTGGGATAAGTGCAACATAAGATCTACTAAAAACTACAGGTAGTGACAGCTAGAGGACTACAATGAAAACTGTACTTTATACTCATTCATTCCATTAATACTGGATAATTATGGCTTAGAACTTTTTGCAAAATGACAATAATGGGAATGACTTACCGACAGGTTTGCACCAAAAAGCGTAAAATTAGAATGACTTTTATTAGTGTCTCCACAAAATCTTACCCTTATCAAGACTTGCAACTAAACAAAAACTACCACCACAAAAAAACCCACAAACAAAATCCCAACACCAAGGCAAAACCAAGCCACCAACAAAACAAAAGAAACCCCCAAAACAAACAAAAAAACCCCTTGAACAAAATCACCTATGACCACAATACAAATATACACAGGAAAAAAAAGAGATCAATATACTTGGTATTAACCAGCAACTCTGAAATTCACTGGAAATTAACATGAAAGTTGCGAGCAGATCAATAGATTGCCCTATTCCATCCTAAGATAAAATATGGTAAGTCTGGGAAAATATACAGCATGTATTACTTTAATAATGAATAAGTACTTTAAAATTACAAAGTCTACACGCCATAGGTAACACAGGCTAGTAAAGTTTACCCAAGTTTAACCGGGTGGTAGATAGTTCAGAGAATATTCTACGACCCATGTCTTGTGCAAATTAAGAGTTCCACTAACTGAGTACATGAAGATCAAAAATGTTCTGATGTAATGCTTTACATTTAATAAATGTGTTAGGCGTAGAATGGTTGTAAGTATACACATACAGGATTAGAAGTGCAGATTATATTACCCACTCAACACACACATTTCTCAGTGTCTTTTAGTCGCACTGCAACATGCCAAGTGCAAGAGAGCTAAACCCTAACTCATTTTGAAAAGCCACTAATATTGCCATGCTTTCTGTGGTTACATGTATTGCTAAAGTAGGAAAACAGAAGTGGAAGGATGGCAAACAGCAATGGCTCCAGCATGCTCCCTTCACTGAGCCACCACTGCAAGAGCCGGTGGATGCACAGTCTAGAGCAGGAGAACAAGCCTGGAAATCCTAGTGGCTGGCTGTACTGGAGAACCCCAGCACTAAAACCTGTACCTTGACCAGAAATATAGGTACCTATAAATGTCCCCCCCAGCCTCCCACAGATGGGGGCAGAAAGCAAACATGAAAGAACGTACCTGCAGAAGTGAGAGTGTCAGGGGGAAGAGAGGATGACCACTCACTTGCCATGGACAAGTGAAGGTTTGCACATAGGTTTTCATCTCCTCCTACCACAGAAATCAGTACCAGGAACTAGATTTTACTAATATCAACACCATGAAAAGAAAACAACACAAACCACAAGGAGTAACACTGAAAGCTATACAGTATGCTGGTACTTGGGACATAACCACACTGCCCCGAAGTTCTCTGATTCCCTTAGGCTACCCAAAGGCAAATGATACAGGCAGAGAACAGAATGCCGTTCCTTCTCTCACCTTCTCTGCCACCTCAGGAGACAGCTGGGGAATAAGAGGATGCCTGGCATGCCTCTGCTGCACTAAAAGAACTCACAATAGGTGCTCCAGCTCACTGTGAAGTACCAAGCCATCCCATTCCCTTAAAGGCAGGCTGGTTTTCTCTCCATCTCAATTGGAAAGCGAATCTGAACTTACCCTTTTGAGGAAACGATAAAGAACCTTTTCTCACAGCTTTCTTACTATAATAAAAACTGATTACAAACTATAGTCTCTCCCCTTTTGTGCCTGTGTGGGTAACCATGAATAAACCAGCAGAGCTAAACATGCAACTATATCCTCAGAAACCACACAGCTTTGAAAAATCAGAAAAGGCCAGAAAGAAACCACGACAACTACACGCTATCAATTAGCAACAGCAAAGATGATACAACTAACAGGCAGCAGCACTGAACTCTCACACAGCCTGGAAGTACACCATGGTGTGCAATCCCCGCAAAGGTATCAGCTTGTAGGTGCTGACCAGCATCGCCTTTGCACAAGCACCTTAAATCCAGGTATACAGAGGAGTCAGATGATGCGAAGAACCAGTGTTCCTGGTGACACTGTAACCAAAACCTTCATCTGGGCAGCTCTGTACATGTACATCCGCATCTGCGGATCCACGCATCTTGCTCTAAGATCAAGATCCTAGTCACTTCCATTCCTTTAGAAAATGAAAGGGGCATTAAGGCTCTTATTACCTTGTATTTCTTTAAAAAATCCCTGAGATTTAAAATTGCCAATAAAAGATCTGCAGAGTTGGAAAATACAAGAAGAAAATACTAAATATGCCTTTTCAAATTAACTGTGGTGTGAGAGAACGTATTGGCAAGCCTTCTCTTAGGATTGCTAAGCGTGTTTTTTTGAAAGTATAGGCAGCTTCTTCCTAAGATCTTTTGAAAATCTAGACAATTCAGTTGGATTTATTTCCGTACTAAACAATTCTAACACATTTAGAGAGGATGTTTGTGACTGAGACACAGAACATGAAATGGAGGCAAACATGGTTATACACAAATAGCTGAATCCTGATTCTTTTTCTAAGAGATCAAATACATTAACAGTCTTTCTCTAAATCTTTATCTACATACTTGTCCGTGACTCTACCACCTGTAAAAGAGTTTTCTAAGTTACACAATGTAGTTAGAAAAACAAAACAGAAAAATGACAGAAATCCGTTTGCAAACTCTTTTACAGGTGGTAGAGTCATGGACAAATATGTAGTTAGTTGTGGGAAGGAAATCCAACAAACCACTTAAAATATACTTAAAAGGTACCAGCTTTGGACACAACTGAAGACCTCCTCCAAGTGCCTATTTAGAAATGTCAAATTACACATCCACAGCATCACCTTCACAGCTATGAATAAAGCCACATGAAGAGCCAGAACACACATTCAACAGAAGAAAAAAAAAAAAAAAAGCCAAAAATAAAGTATAGCACTTAAACAAAAAAGAGCAATCAAACTGCTGTACATTCTTGTAGGTCCAAACTAACACTTTGTGCTAAATGTGCTTTGATTTTCCGTGCCACTGGCAAAGGGGACAAGTTTCCCTGTGGAACCACTCAAACACAGTAACCACAACATAAAAGTAAATGCTGTGAAGCATAATCATTCCTTGGTAAAAGCTAAACTGGAAAAAATGGGTGTCTGAAGGAGGTCTTACCTCCTCATGTTCTACCATTCACTGAGAGGAATTCTCTTGCAGTTATCAAGAAAGAATAGGATTTTTTCAATGTTTAAGAAGAATTAAGGTCTTTTAACAATATATCAAGACCACATTTAAGAGAACAGATACAAATAATATGGAGCACAGAGTTATGCTTGTAACTGAAAACTGCTTATTTTGTAGGTGTCCACTGTACTCATACTGCACTCTCTCTGCAAAGGACTGAAAACGGGGCAACAGGGAACCCCAGAACCAAGTGGTTGAAGGAGATGAGGCTTTCCATCAGAAGGTTTCAGCCGTGTGTTCTGTATTTCACGTTCTTGCTCATTCAAAAGCAAAGCACTGTAAAATATTGCTATTATGAGCTGAAGCTCAGAATTTCACCCCTCCAATCCATCAGGTTGGCAGGCAGGAAGGATGTTTCACAACTCTTACTGTTTCACCCCAATAAATGTTGCTAAATTAGATGTGACCAGTTCAGTAACTGTCTTTTCAATTACACTCTCAAACTTACAGATCAAGTCTCACATCAAGTCACCTAACTAAAAAAAGAAAATTATGAAAGCAGTGAAGCTCTGTTTTCTACAGCATTGGCTCCTCTTCACATCTCAACTGATCAGAAAGATCACGGTATTTTTCTGACTGTAGCCCAAATTTTAAAGAAAAAATTAAAGCTATCACTGGGTTTGCCACCACATGTCTTCCACAGATAAAGTACACTTTCACGAATTAATTTGTAAGCATTTTTATGCAGAGTGATTGAATAAAGAAAAAGAAGGTGAGACAAAACGCAATGGGGATTAACTTATTTTATAGTCTATGCATATACCTCCAAAATGCTGCAAAGCAGAAGGCTATTTGTTCGTTGCTAGACTGCTGAAGGCACTTTGAAGTCAGAAAATACAATGATTGTCTTCACAAGATGTTTTGGCAACTGCTATTTTCATTTGACTACATACACATTCCCTCTTCTAAACTACCACGTAGGTTATTTATTCTTCGAAGTATACCATAGACATGTTGCATAGGTTGATATTTTAAAACTTTCCTTCATAGTTGATTTGAAGATTGTCCTTTTTTCTTTTGATCGTGGAAATAAGCAAACAAATAAAAAAACCCCAAATGAGGACTTTCACTGCAGAGCAGGAAAACTGCTGACATATGGGATGCATCTGCCTGTTAAAAAGCATGTGCAAAAGTTGCTGTTGTATTTGAGTGTTGGAGGAACAGTATATTATTCCAGACTCTTACAGAATATTTGTAGTCAAAGAAGTCTTTCAATATACTGCAATCTGTGATGGCTACATATGCCAGCTGATGACACTACTCTGGAATCAGAGCGTTCTCATAAATGCAGTATTTTACAAACCTTGTAGCCTATCGTAACACATTCTGATGGCAGTGTGAGGCTTGTAAGGCAGCACCAAAGCTAGGATGCTTTGAGGGAAACTGAAAAGGTACATTAAAAAAAAAATAATTAAAAATCAACTACATTACGTGATTTAAAATCCAGCTACCAGATTAGGGTTTTCTTGCTTAAAGTGACTGACATCACACTCTTTTAACTTCTAAGCCTGAACAGCATAAAGGGATCCATCACAAAAATCAAGCATCAATCGACATGTGCCTTCTCTGTCCAGTCTTCTTGTGTGAGATTCTTTAAATTGTTCTGAAAGTCAAAAGCAAAGTTATCGCTGGTGGCTTGAGCAAAAGGGTTACTAAAGAAAAGGTTCACATCCAGTGGCGCAGCGGTTTCAGAGTCCCAGGAATCTGTGTCTGTGCTGCTGGAGTCTTCCGTGGTAGTAGGTGGACAGCTCAGCTGTTCCAGCTGGTCAATAATGTCTGTGAATTGAAAGGCTGAGCTGGACTCGGAGCGCACTGAGTAGGCAGGGAAGTTCACCATGGAGCTGGCCTCCGAGTGGTTCGCAGAGCTGTACGCGTGAACAGAGGATGCGCCGTTCAATGCCAAGTTATTGAGGGAGCTGCTCTCGGAGCGGTTGTTGACAAGTGAACTCGTTTCAGATGGGCTCAGGAGGCTTTGCATTCTGCTTGCTTGGGCCTTCACTTTGAACAGCTCCGAGGTATCCGATGGTCTCTCATTGCCGTTGAAATCACTCCCTTCTTCAAACTCAAACTCATCTTCCATATTCATATCTACTGCTTCGGTTGAGTACCTGTCAGGGCTCGACTGAGGAGAGAGTGTATTTTGCTGAAGGGCATCTGTAGTTAAGCCAGGTGACTCTGACACATGCTTAGAGAAATCAGAGCCCTTTAATTCTAAACCACTGTACACATAGGAAAATGCCTCAGAGCCACCAGCAAAAAAGGAAATTTCTGCTGGGTCATCATCAATAAATTCCTCTGACACCTGTAACTGTGAATTTGTCAATGTGAAAAGAGGGGCACCCCGACTGCCATGCTGATGCTCTTGTTCAGCGACAAAAACACCTGTGGTAAAGTCATCCTCATCATTGTCATTTTTACAAACAGCGACCCTGCTCTCCTTACTACTCCTCTCTATATCTAGATCTAAACAGTAACCATTTTCAACAACAGGACAAGCAGGGTTACAGTTTCCTGCAACACTACCAAACCCAACACCTTGGAGCATGGGAGATCCAGGCTGCTGCATCAGTTTCCTCCCAACTTCTTCTGCTGGTGCTGCAGTGTTCTTTTCTGGAATCCTTGTGTATGGTGCTCGGGGGTCTGAAGAGGAAGGGCTGGTTTCTGCAAAGATGGGCAGGACAGGAGTAGAAGTGGCCGATGAGTGAACTGAGTGGAAGGGGGCAGCTGCAGAGGCAGGAGACCCTGGGGTTCTCAAGCCCTCAATGAATGGGACACTCTAAGAAGAAAATTAGAAACACAACAGGAAAATATTTTTACAACACATAAAACTAAATGCAGCATCCAGTTCCTGATGCAGAAGGAATACATGCTTCAAAAGAGCTCATTTTACATTGCATACACAAACAGGTCCAGCAGTCCCAGTAAGAGGCAAGATCTTTTTTCTGGAATTCAGATAACTGGATGGAAGATTAAATCCATGTATTTTATAGTCTCTGCTGAAAAGCCATCCACAAGGGGAAGTAGCACAAAACAACAATGGCATAACCCTGTGATGCTTCCTTAACCTCTTGCATATAAAGCAAGTGCATTCAGTGAAACACTTGTTTCTTGCCATTGATTGTGGAAGGCATCTATACAATGAACTTGAGACTTCCACAGAAAGCAGTTAGATAGTACCTAGAAAGTATAACATTTTCTTGTCAGTTAAGCTGAACTCTGAAAAGGAAAATATTACTCTCTTTACACTCCACTGGCTACAACTATCGAAACTGATTACAACTATCAAAACTGATACTGCTCAAAAAAGAAGATAAACTGTGCATCAGGGACAAAGATCAAAGAGTGAAAGTAATTCCAGACAAACAGCTGACTCAGATCATCTCCTTCACTGTCATCTCAGAAAGCTGTTTGCCAGCTTCCATGACTGCAATATCAAGAGTGCTGCAGAAGTTACCTGTTTTGGCACGTCTGTGTTTGAAGCACGAGTGGACGCTCTGGCTTTGCTGTGCCTCCTGCAAAACACAGAACTTTCTGTGAGTATCCAAGACATGAACCAGCCTTCTCCCTTCCTCACTCAGCTACTTCCCTTCTGGTAGCCAACAGAAATGTCTCAAGCTATATTTTATCATGGTTTTTAAAATCTTGAACTAGTTATTAACCAGCCACAAGAGCTGCAAATTAAACAAAGCAAGAGTAAGAAACACAGAAAAAGGAATAAAGCAAGATCCAGATCATTCATACCACTGAAGAAGAACTTAAAAGCAACTTGGGGCAGACAACTAGACTAAATAGCACTCTTAGTTTAAGTTCTTCCTTTGTCATCAGTATAAACATCTACAAATAAATGGCTTCAGGAACAGAATGAGTTAATCTGCAATAATTTTACAAGTAAGTTACAATATAGTTAACCATATAATTTATGGCATATAAAATTCTATGTTACACCCCAAAAAGTGGTATCCTGGAACATGCTCATGGTTATATTAATTCCATGTCAATCATTTACTATAAAAATCAATCTTTCATATAAAAGAGGAGCTCAATTGGAGTCCAAAACATTAAAAGTATTTATTAACAGTAGATAAACGCAAAGTTCTATAAATTTCCATTAAGTTCCTATAATATTTCAGATTGAAAAGTATGAGGAATTTCCCACCTGTAGACAGGATGGTTTATTCATCAAGTAAGTAAATGACAATTTTATAATTGAAACGCACATTCTTAATTTATTTAGTTATACGTTTAGAAATTCATGAGTATTTAAGGTCACAGTTTGAGACTTGCAGCTCCCAAGTTCAATTACGCACTCTGCCACTGGCTACTTGCAAAGCTAGAGTGACATAGAGACAAGTCCTCGCTAATTTCAGTGAATCTTCAAAGCATACTGAATTTAATATGGCTAATTCGCACATTGTCCATGGACATTAAAACATAATACTGAAACTTTCCTAAGCTTCATAAATCATCACAACAGTAGAATTATTCTTTAAATTTAGTTCAGCTACCTTAAATCTGAGGGATACCTTAGTAACTAAGAAGTCAACCAGTGAACATGTTTCCAAGCATCATTTAAAAACACTGAAATTTAGGAAATTAGAGCACTATGCAAGTTTCAAATACATTTCACCTTAAAAAAGTATTTGTACTTACCTTTCGTATGGGGTTTTCTTCATCCCACTGTCCTTAATATAATCCACTAGTTGCTTCTGTGTTCTTCCACTGTGAACCCACAAAAGTACAAACATTATGAAACACACTGGATGAGAATGACAGACGGAATGACTTTAGAATATTTTTTCTTTTTGATCTCATTTTCTAAGATATAAGGAATTCAGCTTTAATAAACCTGTTAGGTTTCTCCCTACCTGTATCTGAATGATGACCCTCTGGTGAATAACACTGCTTTAGCCTTTGGCTTTGGCTGATCAAAGAGCCTAAAGAACGTGTGATATTCAACACAGATTTTCCAGAAGTTTTTACACTCATCCCTACTTCCCAAAAGAAACTCCAGCGTATCTTGATATGGGCCCTGGGAACAAACCACAGAAGTAGCACACAAAATAGTAATGGATGAGAAACGGAAAAGTACAAACAGGTACAAACAAAAGGCTCAACCCCAGTGAGATGTGCCAAGTCATTTCTCATATGCCTTAAAGCAATGGAAGTGAACCTGAATGCAGTTTAAATCATTTAGCAGCTTTCAGAAATATCTGTTTACCTTGAAACTTGACTTTAAAATGCATTTGACTTTAGAAACATGCTCTATATAATCCATCTTAAGAAATACGGATCATAAGGTTAGTAGTTTGAAACAAATGACAATATTTAAATGAAATAGTAGCTATTTAAAAATACTTCTTCCTTAGAAGTGCTGATGCTTGTCTAACTTCCCGAGATTCAGGTGAGACCAGAAAACACTGCGTATGTCAGAGTAAAGTTATCAAGTGAAATTTCTGAGGGTCTCTTTGTGAGACACATTACACAAGCAGACAGCGCGTCCTGCTTCAGGTTACGTTGATATACACATAACTATATGATGTCCAACCCACCCCCTGATTTTAATACAACCCTATGTTCAACGTACCAATCTACTATAAATCTGCCAAGCATGAAAAATAACACTTCTGCTATACAGACACATAGAAAAGATAAGGCTGTAGCAAAAGTAATCACCCAGTCCTTAAAATTAAGCTCCAAGAATATAATCTCAGCCACCTATTCTTTCCTGAGGTGTATCCGGTTATTCTTTAGAATCAATCTTTACCAGATTTTTCATTTAAGCCGCATGTTTGCAACAAGTTCCTGGAGGAAACAGTCATACAAAGCAATCATCATTTGTATCATCAGTGTAGTGTAGTATTCTTTTAAGGAGCTATAGCAAAAGCACTTCCTAACACACTATTACCTGAACAACAGAGATTTACTATTTCAATGCTTAAGTTACCTTAGTTCATTTTGACAGTAATGAATCGGAGAGTTGAGCATCAACCTCCATTTATATCCAAGGAAAATACTAAATGTCACTTTTTCAGAGTAAAAGGACTGAGACAGGATGCACCTAATACTTGCTTTCAATTTTATTTTCTATCTTACATTTACACATTTATGCCTACATCAAGGATAAGCTTAGGCTGACACACACACAAAAAAAAAAAATCTAAGAGGAGAGACATGGGTTGAAAAAGGAAAGATTTTTACTTGAGAACTGAAGCCATGCCTCCCCCACTGAAGTTGTTTTATAGAATTACAAACTCTAGAGTTTTTCATAATAAAATTAAGTGTATGTATTTTTTAACACTGAGAAGCCTACTATTCCAGTAAAACTTACACAGACCTCTGGGTGGAGTTTAACAAGGAATCTTTTCCTCTTGAAGCTTAGTTTACGGACCTTTGACCAGTTGAAGGTATTGATTTTCGTATTTCCCTGAATTAAAATGGTAATAGTTAAAAGTTGGCAAAAGTTTCTAAGACCAGCAAACAAAATTTCTGGGTTTCTGTTCTGTGGGTATATATATACATGTGCATGTGGACACACACCACCCCCCCAACCTATTCTGGTGGATTTTTATTTCTAGTGACAATATTCCCTTGAACAATTTTATCTTTCAGTACAAGGATAGCTACAAGTGTGTGATGTCTGTGATCTCTGTGCAGACACTTAGAAAATCAAATGAAAACCTAGAAAACTGGATGGGAAAGGGACGTTTCAACCCCATCGACATTCAGGGTATTTTATGGTACAAGCAAGATGGTTTCATTTATGGAATCATAGAATAGAATCATAGAATAGTTAAGGTTGGAAAGGACCTTAAGATCATCTAGTTCCAACCTCCCTGCCATGGGCAGGGACACCTTGCACTAAACCATGTCACCCAAGGCTTTGTCCAAGCTGGCCTTGCACACTGCCAGGGATGGAGCATTCACAACTTCCTTGGGCAACCCATTCCAGTTCCTCACCACCCTCACTGTAAAGAACTTCTTCCTAATATCTGATCTAAACTTCCCCCGTTTAAGTTTGAAGCCATTACCCATTGTCCTACCATTACAGTCCCTAATGAAGAGTCCCTTTATTTCACATGCTTTCCTTTTCCTCTGGACAGAATTCTAGACACCCTCCTCCAAGCTGATTTTCATAATTCAGCAGAACAATACACAGACGAGTACTTGCCAGATGCACAAGGAATCCTGCCAAGCTCTCTCACTCACAAGCCTCCTTATCTGGCTAAAACTAGACTCTGCCTTCACACTGCTGCCCTACATCAGATGTCCCTTCCCTGTACCACTGACTCCCAAAACCTCAGAGAAGGACCCTGTCAGCACTCATCACCGCAGCAATTCTCCCGTCATCCTCTACAAGGAAAGGGAGAGGAAAAATGGGAGTTCAAGAGAAAGACCCAAATGAGCTGAAATGATGGAAAACTCAGGGCTGAGATGCCACTGAGGAGGACTGAGAACTGCAGGACTGCAGTGGTTGATGCATCTCCAAAGAGAAGCTGACCCACAGTAACAGGAGAACACATAAGACACAAAATAAATGCAGAATGAGTGTCCAAATGGAAATACTTTAGTAGGTAAGCTGTCTGTGCGTTCTGGAGGAGGAAAATAATATGATTACATTCATAAACAGAATGCTGATCACTGAGTCGCTTATTTAATACAACAAAGGTAGTAATTCTAATTGGTCTGATCACTTCAGTGAAACAGCACTGCTATACATTAAGAGCAATACTACCCCAGCAAAAACACACTGTAACATTTAAAAAAGGGAAATTGTACCAAAATTCCGGAATTAGACACCTGCTCAAGGGCTGTACCAAAAAAATTGATTATTTTTATTGAACACACATGTAACTTCCAAACAGGCAACAAAAACCCTTCTATTTTGCTGTTACTGTTGGGTTTTATACTGCTCTCTCTGCATCAACAAGAACAAACTGCACCAAACAATATTTGAGGGGCTTAACTGACACTCCCTTGACCATAAAAATGCACTAAATTTTAAACAATTAGACACACCTGAAGTTATAATGCGAAATTTACTCCTAAGAGGTGCTAACAGAAAGGCTGACACACGCTCAGCCTGCCCTTCCCACCTTACCTGGAACACCAATACACCCATATGTGAGACAGCTAGGTTAATTTTGGTGCCCTCACGGTCAGATGCAAGGTGGAATCTGATACCATACATCTCCAGTTTCCGAGCAATTTCAAGCACTTTAGCAGGAGTTTGACCCCTGTAACGAGGAATAAGAATAAATACAGTTTTAAGAACAATCTGATTCTACAATATTGCCAACATTGCTAATATACTTAACTCTCACACCAAATAAGAATTCTCTCTCTCACCAAGTTCGTCTGTTTCACTCCAAGTTAAGCATTACACCAACATTTTTGTAATAGGAACAATATGCAACAGTAGATGACCAACCTAAAATGCATCCCACAGACAGAGGCACTGAAACAACTAACTAGTCCAGAGCTTTTTCAGTTTAAAAGCAATAAAGTTGAACAAACCTGAATTCATTCCACAATGCTCCTTCTTCTGCTTGCTTGTATACACATTAATATTGACCAGATAAAAGTGAGAGATGTCAGAGCTGCACAGTCAGCACAATGGGAACAAAGCAAATACTGCAACAGAATGACCCTTTTCAGGCAGGGATTCGGGACTGCATCAGAATTATTACGCTAGTAGTATCGGGTGCAATGCATTCCCGCAGTCTTTGGCCATGTAATTTCCTCCTTGCCAAGGAATCCAGAAAATGATTTTAAAAATGAAATCATCTGCTGTTAAAATGACTTTGAAAACAGGAGGAAGATATACACAGGGAGCACCTCCTTTCTAAGCGTGCACGAAGTCCAAGCAAATCAATATAGTGACTGTTACAGACTGGCTCATACCAGTCACAGATTCAGCCTTCATTTACTTCTCCACAAGTCTACTGAAATCAAGTAACTGACATTTTGTTCTCCTGCACGACAAAACAGCTTCTTCCACCACCCCTCCACACCCTTTTTTTTTTTTTTCCCACAAGGTGGAGTTTACTGAATTATAGTGCATTTCTCAGCTGGCGCTCAGGAACAGGAGGGGTGGCCATGGACAATGAATTGGAGCTACTCAGCAGAGCCTGCGCACAGGAGAGAGCCCACGTAAATACAGTCCAGTTGAGCTAGCAACGGCAGGAGACCCTTCTCCTTTGCTAACTCCACGGAAACACAAGCAGCACAGGACCTGACAGGACACTAGGACTGGTGACACTGCTTCAGCCACAGTTGTATAAAGTGATCCCTGCATCCCCACTGAAAATTATTAGAAATAATAAATATCACGTTTCTTCCATGAGCCACCTACGCTAGTGCATTGATTGAACTGTTCCTGCAATATGCAAGTGCACTAGCATGTAAGGTACAAGGAAGACACAGGGAATAAAAATTATTACCCTATTTACAACCAATTAGTACTGAAACCAGATTAGATCCTGCAGAAAGACAAAGTTTAAAAATCCTGCTTTCCACGAAATGTCCTTCCTTCCATAAATCTGTGTGTCACTTCATTAGAATAGATGAAAAACTATTTGTAGTATGATCTATTTTCATGCCTTATGTAGTGCCAAGCATAACATCAGTACTAAATACATTTTCCTGCTACACTGACTTGCTTTCCTAGGCATGCTCCTTAAAAATACCTCCCTTTTACTTACCTATAGTCATGTTTCAGACTAAACAACCTTTTTGCTCTATATAGATTTCTTTTAAATATAAATTGAGAATATTAAAGTGAATTATTATTATATTTGAATTTGTCAGAAGCAGGGATGATGACAACACATTCACCGCACGTAGGAATGCAATTACAAAACTTATGTAGTATGCTAACACTTTAAAAATGGGAGCTGTTAGCAGAAACAACGCTTCTTTGATTCTTAGTAAAATGCTCTTCAGACTAAAACTCATACATACACAAAAATTGACTGAGAAAGTATGCCTGAATGGACATACACTTCATGACAGGATTTCAACAGTTTTCTATTGCCTTATTCATTCTGGAGGGGGAAATAATACTCTAAAATACTACAACAGGAAATCCAAAATTTATTTTGCCAACTGCAGAAAGCAGGGATTCAGTGAAGTTCCTACCTTTACAAGTTCAGCCCATATGCCAACCTATCCAAACGTCAGTATTATATGACCATGTATGCGTAAAGGGACTGGAAAGAACAAACACAGAGGAACAAAAATCTGATTTTAAATGGAAAAAGAACTGCCGAACTGCACAGAGAGTCTTGTAGCTGCATTTCTACCAGTGTTACCACCACATGTATTGGTTATGTTGAAGAGCTTAAACTGGTAAAGCAGATTTCACCTCCCCTTACTGAAATGGGTAAGGCTGGAATAAGTGCTTTTATACTGGCTTTAAGTGTTACTAATATTTCTTCCATAGATTCCTTACCTGAAGCAAAAAAGCACAAATACCATAGTTCCTGTTTATTAAGCATTTATGAGACAAAAAAAGGTAGATGATAGATACTAATTTTGGCCACAGCTTCTTAGAGTTACACTCTAAGAGCACTGTATGTAACTTCCACCCATCTGCTGCAATTCTTCTGAAAAGAGTGACATTAAGAATGAAAGTGGTGCTTTGTCCTTTTAAATAGGGTGCTGCTGATGCTAAAGTTGCTGAAGGCTAGGAAAGGAAAGGAAACAAAAGTTAGGATAACATGGCAACTAGAAAATTGGAGCCATATAGTACTAAAAGATCTTCATAAACAGTCAAGTATAAGAGACGCAGAACTACTGATGGTTATTTTATGTTCCATTAGATATGAGCCAAAGCACAGCACATCTCAAAGAATTAAAAAATCAACCCAGATTTTAAGAGTGTTTTTAAGCATTCAACTGGCCTGTACCTACCGAAGAAGGAAGAGCCTTGAGTGGGGAAAGGTGGTAGCAATGTTGGGCACTCACCCTGCACCACAAACAGTTACAAAGGAGAAACGGTTTCAGAGCAATTACCCTCAGATGTTTCCTGCAGACTAAGCTGCACAGACCAGCCTGAAAACAGTCTGGTCTAATTTTGTTCATCCATTAAGCAGATAAGTCTACTTAATCTTCCCCAGGTCAACGGACAACAAACTATCAATTACAAGTGTTTTCCAGTAAAAACTGCTGTCAATGCAATGTTTTAGTTTAAAGGTTCCTTACATACATCCATTTAGACAAATAGACTGCTACAACAGTCACACGTGGCAACGGATTCAAAATAAATGCTGTTAAATGTTAAGTGATTTATACAACATTTAAAAACAGTGATTTATAGAGAAGTTTAAAGATAAAGTGTCAAACGCTGCATGTGTAGAAATTGTTCAGACTACACAGCAATCTGAAGTTACTGTTTTCCTAATTTACAAACAATTCAACAATTTAAATCAAGGACAGCTAGGCTAACAAGCTGTGACAGGACATAACGGGTAACAGTAAAGGTAAATATAGATCTATCAAGCCTTCAATTTCTTTCCTGATTTATCTATGTACACACAAACAAAAACCCCACAGCCATCTGAATCCAAGCAAATCATGTTATGTTTAATTCTAGAATACACTCCCCCTGAAGCAAGTATTCTACTTGCACTACTTGGAGGAAGGCAGTAAACATCGCATTTTAAGTGACCGGGGTGCCAGGATTTAACTGCACTGCCACCAACATACCATCTTCAAAATATAAACTACTTTTTCTTTTTTTGCTTTTATAAACTAAAAAAATAAAATAAGTAACGTTAATTCAGACTTCTGCTGAAGCAACCAGGTAATGTGCTATACCAAAACTACAACTCACCCTGTTTATTGTTACTACATTTGCAAATTTAAATACAAACCTCATATTTCAGTATTTGTGGAATTAAAAGAAAGTATTTGTAAAAGTGAAAGAAATAAAAAAGGTATATTTAACAGAAAATGAGGTTTCAATTCCTATCTTTACGAATAAACATTTCCAATGTATTTTATCTTATTTTGATACAGAATGGATTGGATACACACACTCTTATTTCTCTAATTTTATTTCTAGTTTTATTTCTAGTTTGATTCAGGTTTATGTGTTCTTCTACCATTTCTAATGGTAGCTACAATGAAGCAATAAAAAGAATAAAGATTAAAATCAAACCACAACTTTCTAATGTGAAAAGACACTCCATAGCATCATCCAAAGGGACTGAACACCCTCTGCAAAGCCATACACATCCTCCTGCTCCCCCAACTCACGTACAGCACTGGAAGGCTCCTGCTGCAACTCTAGCCCAAGAAAGTCAATTGAAGCTCCCGGCTTGATACAACACAGAAACCCCCTGTACACCGGTATATGAGCAAGCGTGTTCAAGGCAAAGCAAGGGCTGCTGAGGAAGAAAACTGAGGCAGAAATAAGATGATGCACTTGTGATATGGAGATGAGCCATCCTACCAGAAATGTTTTTTTTATTCCTGGAGGCTCTGTTTATATGAGAAGTCTCTGGCAAAAGCAATCACCAGTGGAAGAAAATACCAGTCTTCTAAAGCTATGTGGGGAAATAACGACAACTGAAGGAAATAAAAATGAAAATAAAAAAATAGAAATATGATGCACAGGGGTAATAAGAGAAGCCTTTTGTCTGTTTAACTGCACTGCCCATCACCACGGAGACAAATGCCAAAGGTCCATGCTCCTGCTTGCTCCTTGTAACAGAAACAAGGAAAAAAAATGTGTCTACGCTCTGAGAGAACACGGGACCTTCACAACTACTAAAAATGGAAAAGGGTGGCCAATACTCCCTGGGCAAGGGAAGCAAGAGGAGACGTGTAAGGAAGTCACAACTATTTTTAGGACTGCAGTGCTTCCAAAATTACATCTAACAAAAATTTTTCCAAAGGCACAGGGCAATCTGAAACATGAGTTCCACACACTCCGGTATCGCCAATGTTCTGTTGTAACTGTTTCCAACCACATGCCTCAGCTTTTAATCTTAACATGGTTTGAATGTACACTTCCAAAACATTGCTTTAAAATAAGATTTGCAATCATTTTAATAACATGGCTGTGCTAGATGCAATTCTCATTAACCTAATGAAAAGCACACTTATAAAACATGGATCTTTTTGTATTAACCTTCCACTGACTTTTTCCTGACAGGCAAGAATACAACCTTTCCTTACTGTAAAGAATGATTAGAAGTAACTTGCCTGAAAAAAAAAAAGCTTGACCCTAATTAGTAGAATTACCAGTCCCTGACTAACTCAGGAGACAGTCACGACCTTTCTATCAAGAAAAGGAAGCCAAGAAAATTCCCCGCAAGCAGAAGCAACTCAATCAGATCCAGGCACGTGACTAACAAAGGGCTGTTCTGTGAATGCTTTGGATGTAACTTATCCCAGAACTACAAAAATCACATTTCTTCTCAAATCTTAAAGCAATCAGCCCGTACTGCATGATGTTGTCTAAACCTTTCATGAAGCCATTTGTAGCTTTAGACACCACCATAGTGGTGGAATTTCTATGAAATTATTGGTTTTCTTCCTCAAGCTACTGCCTCCTAAGGTGAAGAATCGCAGCATACATTTTATTTTACTTCAAAATCACTTCAAAACAACAATTCGTTTGTTCCTTCACTGTTTCCACATGCACCTCAAAGGTTCAAAAACAGGAAAAAAAGTAACACCTGATTTCATTGAGAATTGAAATTGAAATTCCATTAGTACTGGTAATTCAGTACAACTGAAAATGAGTGATCATAAAAAGAAGTTAATTATTGAAATTCTTAGGAACTGATTTTCTAATTATACAGTATGTTTCTTAGCCTTGAACACAGATGCTGCCCTGAATAACCTCCTCCTTCTGTCTTAAAGGAAAGTCAGTCAGCAACAATCCCAGAGCAAAAGGAAAATTTAGACATCTAATATAGTATTTGGATTAAAATACACAACCATGCATAAGAAACTGTGCAGGTGGATATTCTCAACTAATAAAAGCAATTCAAATTGCTAAATCCTAATATGGAAGGTCTCAAAAACTACACAGTAAGATCTATTGGGTGAAATCAAAACTCTGTTACCATTTTATGAAGCGCTTTATCTTGATTTAACCTGCTGCCTCCAAGAACTGCAAAATCAGTGTTAGGGCCATTATGGTTGGGAACAATCTGGAATTTCTCAGCAGTATTAACATTGCGTGCTTAAAAGCTGTGGCAAATATAGAATGCAAACCCTGATCTTCCAAGTAGTATTTTGGTCACGACAGAGCCTCCCTGTAGGTTGACTACCCTTTCACAATCACCATGTCGACTTGTCAGTCTCACCATGGTGCCTGGCAAGATTACAGAGCAGATCCTCGGGGAAGCTATGATAAGGCACATGGACAACAAGGGACTGATTGATGACATCCAATAGGGCTTCACTAAAGGCAAATCACGATGACAAATCTGGTGGCCTTCTATGAAGGGGCCATGGCACTGGTGGATAAGGGAATAGTGACTGACACTGGACTTGTGCAAGGCATTGACACTGTCCCTCGTGACATCCTTGTCACTAAATCAGAGAGGCATGAACTTGACAGATGGACCACACGGTCGATAAGGAATTGGCTGAATGGTCACACTCGAAGAGTTGTGCTCAATGGTTCCATGTCCAAGCAGAGATCAGTGAGAAGTGGTGTTCCTCAGGGGTTGGTATTAGGACGGGTACTGTTCAACATCTTTGCTGGCGACAGGGACAGTGGGATTAAATGCGCCCTCAGCAAGTTTGCCAACAATAGCAAGCTGTGTGGTGTGGTTGACACACTGGAGGGCAGAGATGCCATCCAGAGGGACCTGTACAGGCTGGAGAGATGGGCCCATTTGAACCTCAAGCAGTTCAACAAGGTCAAGCGCAAGGTCCTGTACCTGGGTCAGGGCAATCCCAAGCACGAATACAGGATGGGCAGAGACTAGATTGAGAGCAGCCCTGACGAGAAGGACTTGGGGGTGTTGGTCGTTGAGAAGCTCAACATGACCTGTCAGTGTGTGCTTGCAGCCCAGAAACCAACTGTGTCCTGGGCTACATCAAAAGGAACATGACCAGCAGGTTGAGGGAGGGAATTCTGCCACCCTACTCTGCTCTTATGAGACCCCCGCCTGCAGTCTTGCATTCAGCTCTGAGGCCCCAAAACAAGAAGGACGTGAGCTGCTCAAGTGAGTCCAGAGGAGGCCACAAAGATGCTCTGAGGGCTGGAGCACCTCTGCTACAGAGACAGGTTGAGAGAGCTGGGCTTGTTCAGCCTGGAGAAGAGAAGGCTCCAGGAAGACCTTAGAGCAGCTTCCAGTGCCTAAAGGGGCTGACAAGAAATCTGGAGAGGGACTTTTAACAAGTGCCTGTAGTGACAGGACAAGGGGGAATGGCTTTGAGCTGACAGAGGGGAGATTTAGATTAGATATGAGGGAAAAATTTTTCCCTGTGAAAGTGGAGACACTGGCACAGGTTGCCCAGAGAAGCTGCGGCTGCCTCATCGTGTTCAAGGCCAGGGTGGACACAGGGGCATGGAGCAACCTGTTCTAGGGGAAGGTGTCCCTGCCCATGGCAGGGGGTTGGAATTAGATGAGCTTTGAGGTCCCTTCCAACCCAAACCATTCTATGGTTGTCTATTCTAAATCTTCTTACTTACAAAGATATTTTGCATTGCACACACTGAGTAGATCTTCACATTTTAAGGCCAGCCAGATTAGACTGTGAAACACATGACCTTACTATATATTGAATGTGCATGGTGGAAGAAATGGGCATTTCAAATAATAAACCATTCATTTGTGCAGTTCCTGACTGTGTGTTGGAATTAGTTTTATATTTGTGGCAAACAGTTTCTTTGTCCCTAAGAAACTTTACTTACTTAAAAAATACTCCAGCTGTAAGATAAGATACTGCATAAACTGATAAAAGCTATTTCTCCCCCACTCCCTCCATCCTTTTCCATCTTCGTTATGCTCACGGAATGAGTACAATGCAACCGGTTTTTAATAACTTAGAAAAAAGCAAGGCCTATGCATTTGATGGCAAGCTGAACCTAAACTTTGTAGACTGGACATTCTGAAGAATGATTTTGCTGAAAACGATTCTTACAAGCTCATAATAGCTCTCTGTGGTATGTTCTTAAAGGTACACTGAAAAAATCACGTCAGAAAAATTACTGCCCAACAACTTGGTCATAATTATGTAACTACCATTACATCCAACTTTACTTGCTAGATGTAACTGGTATTTAACTTACACAACCTTAACATCATCCTATTGTGCAGCATACTTGACCTCCACCAAGCCAGGCCACCTGCCTGCCAGCAGCTTATGGTAAGGGTATATACATTAATTCTGACTTACACATGTTTCCTGTGGAACTCCAGAATCTTTCCTTCAATTCTTTCCTGGTTTGGAAAATACTGATTTGTTTTAAGGTGTTCTCGATCCTCTGATTCATCAAAATCTCCTATTTCAGCTATTACAGAAAACAAAAACATGTTAGAATAACAAGAAATAATGGAAAAGGAACAATGACAGAAAATACTTCGTAAGGAATTACAGAGACCCCCAAAAATGGAATGTGTTTTCCTTTAAGTGCTACAAATCTGTGCATCACACTTTGCATCCAGCTTCATTCTACAAAACACTCACATTTATCCCAGGCAGACTTCCTGGGGATTACAGCAGCATTTGAACATTGTTTGAAAATTCAGACTTTTGACTTCTTTACAGTCAAAGATGTGAGACTTGTAGAAGATCCACAAGCTGGTCTAAACATTTCCTCCTTACAGATATCTCATACCAAACCAGCATATTTCAATTTAAGTTTTCTAAATACATGTAAAATAGTTATGAACAAGCCTACTTGGCAGGAGGGCGAATTACATGTCAGAAATTGTACAAAAATAAACACATGGCAAAAGAGAAAGCAGTGTTATGTGTCTGTACATCCCCACAGTGCCTGCATCTTGAATTTTGGTCTCCCCTTCACATATCCATGCCTTTCAGAAATTAACTCTGTGGATCTAGTTTTACAGAAGAAAAAAGAACAACTCAAAAGTGCAAAACAGCTTCCACCTGGTAAGATGTGAAAAGACCAGAAGTCTTTGGCTTGGGAAAGAACAGCATGAGGTAGGCAGAATGTATGGCACATGTATATGAAAACTACAAGTTGAATAAATAGATTTTAAAAAGCTATTTAGACTTTTCTGATAATGAAATAGAAAATCAAATGCAAAAGTTTTAAAAAGACAAAAGGATATATGTTATCTTACAAACATCCCAAAAAACTAAGCTGTGAAGCTCATTAGCATGGAAGGATGCCAGAAACATAAGCAAATTCAAAAGTTAGACAAATACATGGAAGCAAAATTCACCAAAGGCAACTAAACAAAGAGATGCAGAGTCAATCTTCAACTTACAAAGGCCACATGCAAACATTACAGGATGGATGCAGCAAAGGAAGTATTGCAATATGCTTGCTTTGTTTCAGAGGGTTTCCCCATAAAATCTGCTATCAACTACTGTCATAGAAAGGAGACTGGACGATGTGAACTAATCCCATCCAAAGCAGCTGCTCTTTAAGAGAGCACAGCAACATCCTGCTTAAAATCAAGCCAGCATAAGAAACAAGAAAAAAATAAAGATTGAAAGGCACTTCTGTAAAACAGTTTATGTTAAAAAGAAACATATTCTTTCTCACTTCTAATTTTCTAGTAGAGTAGAAGCAACCTAAGCAAGGCCAGACACTGAGATTTGCTCACCAACTCCACACTGCAGTGCTGGAAAATCATGAGCAAGGTTTAATCATGTCACTCACTGATAGCACACAAACAACTTAGATTTGCTCTTCCAATAAAATCACTGTAACTGATATTATTATAATTGTATTCCTATATTACAACACAGAATTAGGTAACTAATAACCATTTAGCAGTGCAGCTTTAGTTTCAAGCCAGCAAGGAAGCATAAAACTCCATTTCTGCAGCTCAGGTTACAGATTTGTAAACACTATCATTTGGCAGCTGCTTTGGCTGATTTGGTGTCTGAACCCATTCAAGTTTTTCAACCTGTTCATCTTAATATGTTTTAGGTGTTTAGGCATGTACAGACTGAGCGAGCAGCAACATGGAGAACTTCCAAATCAATTGCTTCCCATTTCCATTTTCACTCCCAGCAAGGAGGATAGCTGCTGACAATCCTGCTGTTGAACTTGTCCTGGCACATGTCTAGTTTTACTTCAGCCCAGTCTCTATACGCTTATCTCCCCCAGCCACAGGGAAAGTGAGAAACGAAGCCAAGGAAGCACAGAGGCAGATCGGAGCAGCTGTCTGGAAGATAAAGCATGCTAGTGACCCAGTTTGAAGAGCCAGGGAAAACAGTCAACATGCAAGGTGTTTCGTTTTGTACAGTCTCCACAAAGCCAAAGTGATCTTATACATAAGCACCAGCTGTTCCTCGCCACAGCAAGCTCTGATGATAATCCCAGTGTTCAAAATCAACAGGTTTACTACATGTACAGAAGGAATTAACCTTGAGACAGAAAATGCTTCAGGTTACCAAAAAATTCTGTATGCTATTTAACTCAGGTTAGCAATAGCAACATCACCTGATGTTAAACACAGTTGAAATACTCACATTGGAGAAGGTGAGAGACCAGAAGAGCAGCTGTATTGTCACTGCAGGTCAGTCGTTCCTCCGCCAAGTCCCTCTTGATTTGCAACGCAAACAGGTACCTGACAGAGTGTTACAAGTACTGGAGTTACACATACCACCCTGACACATGAAAGAATGATAGAACGACTGAGCGAGGTTTTATTAAACTAGAATCTCCTAATTCTTCTTCTCTCCAAAAACAAGATAACACAGAAGTCTTGCTTGCAAGAACAGTCAGATCAAGCCAAATAACCCATGACTAATCCAGTTCAATTTATCAGCATAAATGAACACGCAGGAACATGGAAGCAGAAGGAGCACTTTTCTTTTAACAAGTTTGATTTTTGAAGTAACAACAGCTGTCATTTTTAGCTGGAAAGAAACTTAACGAACACTTCATGTGATTTTATCTATTAGAAAAAAAGATGGAAGAACATCACTGATTCTATTATTTTGTTAGGAAAAATAATGAGCATTTGTGCTAGCACTCAATTAATTTACTCACTGGTTGTATTTTCCAGGTTTATAATGTTAGCAGTCTATGAAGACAGTAAGAAATGAAATTTCCTTTTCTTACACTCCTGTACTCATTTAACTAAAGTATTTTCCAATTAGTTGTTAAAGAGGAATAGATCTCTGTCCAACAGTTTTGTGTAAGTAATAAGCTGCCTGCAAAACACACAAGGATAGAAGAAAAGCATGGCAGCCTTGAAAGTATGCTGGTAAGACCGATTTTGTAACCTAACCTGATTTTAATATATTTTTACGAATGTATGAAGGAATTCTGCAATACACTTATTATAAAGTGTACATTACATTAACAGCATTACAAAACACCTACATGCTCTAAGCACAGACCAGAATTCCACAAAAAATGCTTCATTAATGGGCAAAAATACAGTTCTTGTTCCCAAAAGCTGTGTTCCTAATGAAATTCCTATAAGAAACAGCAATTAACATAACAAAATTGGGAGCAAATGAAATATTTAGGTATTATTTATTATTACAAGATACAATCGTACCATATCACAGCAGTTATTGTGCATCTTTCCTCTAAAGTAAGTCTGAAGGATAATAAGAAACCTCCATGGATCTCTAAAAGGAATTCCAATTAGAAGTAGTACAACTGGGAGAAGCACTAAATGAGCTCTTTAAACACTAAAATCCTGAGTAATGTCCTTGTTAGAGGCACAGACTTCAACGTATGTTCCCAGATGCTAGCAAGTAGATTAAGGTCTGCTTAATTTACCAAAGAGTTAGCAATCAGCAGAAGTTACTCATGATGAGCACTAGTGAAAAAAGGTGAACCGTAAAGCGTGTTTGCTAGTTGTAGAATACTTGAAGTATGGACTTCAGAAGTTTAAATGATAAATCATTTATTAAAACAGGTACTGATTATTTTATATAGGTCCTGTTTATAGATTTTAGCATTTCCTCTATATCCTGTCTCTTTTGACATGACAGTGTTTGGCAAACCCTGTCCTGGACTGTCTTCTGTTTTCAACAATATTTTTTCTGATAACAGTCATCTGCCAACATGTATCTGATAAAACTGTGACACTAAGTAATGAAAAGTGCTCTTTGGCTCATCTTCAATGTAAGTTCTGTTTAGATACAGATACAGTATCCTTCTGCCCTTACCTTTCTCTTATATTATAAGTAATGCAAATCAACTATCTTTAAAAAATACTTTACCTAGTATATTCTTCTTGCAACTGACCCGGGTCTGGAGGGAAAAACTTTACGGCTAGACGAAGCATTGTAGTCTTTGGTCCTGTAAGAAAAGGTTGTAATTTCACAAAAAACAATCCTTCCTCATAAGCACATGCATATTATGTTTTCCAGCATGCAGAGAAATAAAACACGCATGAAGACCAGCCAGCTTTCAGCTTGCCAGCTAACAATAGCAGGCCTATGGGCTATAGATTGTCCACAGCAATGGAGATGCAGCAGGCAGTTCCTCTGAAAACTACCTATACTACTTCCAAGGCAAGTCTGCAGCCTCAATGCTGTAAAAACAGTTCTGTGGACCATGAAAACTGTAATACCCCAAAGCAACTACCTGACTCCACACAAAAGCATCACAGTGAGAGGTTCCCAGAAGGGGCGGAAGGTGGAGACGCATCCCACAGGCTCTCCCAGCACCAAACACCACCACTAGAGTGGCTGATGAACTGAATCCACAAGTCTGGCTAGACCCAGCTGGCTCCACATGGCTCCCAGCGTGCCCGTTAATACCCATGTCCTCCCATTTTTAACACTGCCCTTGTCAACAGGGAAAAAACTAATTTATCTAAACAGAATGTTACAGTAATGTAACATTTTATAACAAGAAAACCCCACTGCAACTATGCAGAAGAGCAGGCATAAATTTTAGCACATCCCCATGGGTTTAGACTATTTTAGAGCAACATATGTACCATCAGGAAACACACGGACATCAGCCTGTGGTCTAAAGCCAAGTTTCCCCAGTACCACTCTATACCATTGATACGGTATAGATTTATATATACCATTGATATGGTATAAAAAAAGATATGGAAAGAGTAACCAAGAGACATTGCAGACCTGCGGTCCACCAGATCTTTTGACTAACACGTAATTCCTTCCAGCCAGGAGCACTGGAAAAACAAAAAAAGCCTAAATGCATGGAGTATATAAGCAGATGGCATTCTAACAATTGGGTTGAAATAGAGTGGAAGTATTAAATACTCTACTAAGAAAGCCTTCTTTTGTAGGTGGTATGGCTCTTCTGCTTAAAAACAATGTTGGTAGAAGTTAAAACCATGACCTTAAGGTTAAAAAAAAATCTAGCTAGAATTGGTGATATTTCACTTTCTGGCAATCGGTTTGAGGCAGAAGAGTAACTCAGAACTACCTCCCAGTACTAATTTTCAACATTTTTCAATTGAGATTTTGAAAGAGTAGGAATACATCTCACCCCTTCTGGTCTTGTTCCTTCACAAAGCCCTACATAAACAAGCAAACAGCTTAACCCTGTTCTAAAAGGAAAAAAGAAAGTTTGATCTATTCTTTCAACGTCTGAAGAACTAGCATACAGTATTCTTCAATTATATTTAGCCTTTAAAGTGCATCTTGTATTACTTTTTAGAGTCGCATAAAGCAAAGATAGCACTGCTATTGCAATATCCTCCTGGCCAAAGAACAGAAACAAATTTCACAACTAAAGCAAAAACGACTCTGAAGCTGCAGATCCCCACCTCTGCTCTCTTAGCAAAACTGCTCCCAAGCACCCTGAGAGAGTGTTTGAGAATGACATGGGAATACCCACTCCACTGAAATTCCCTGTTTGTCAGCAAGCTCTGAGTATAGTTTTGTTGCAGCCCTTCTGAAAGGTGTATCAGCTCTTAGACAGGATTTCAGTACTGCGGATGCTGCCTCCTCCCATGCAACAGGTGTAGTAAGCCAGAATATTCCTTTTTCTTTCCATCGTAAGACAACACGACTTACAAAAGCTCACAAACAGCAAGTGTTATGTTTCACTTCAACGTAACACCAGCTGACCCAATCTGTGTAGATATTTATCACACAGAAAGAATCCTACCTTCAGTAAGTTTCCATTCCACCCACCACATACTACGTATTAAAAGCATCAGGTTTGCATGCCCGAACAGGAACCACTATCACCCCTACCAAGTACAATTTTCAGGGAAGCATAACCAGTAAATCAAGTAGTAATTGTGAAAGCAACCCATGTAAAGCAGATGCAAATTAAGGAAAACTTCCTTTTTAAAAAGTACTTACGTCGTACTTGTTTAATAATAGGTTTCATAGGCTCCAGCCAAATCTGAAATTAAAGAGAAAAAATTACAAACTGACATTGGTATTTGAATACAGTATGAAAACATCAAAAGGAAATTCAAATCAAGCAGTAATTTATGAGTAGGCATTTCTTCCTCACTGGAGTATGGCAGCAATTCCTTTGCTTTTAAAAAAGTGTACTTATCTATTTGATTTCACATTTATCATGCATCAATAGAAAAACCACTGAGCTGTGCTTAAAGCTCATCTGGACAGAAGAGCCAAGTCAGCAAAAGCACACCAGACCTGCCAAGAAGACAGAAATCATGCCAAAACACACACACAGGAGCCAGGCTACAGAATTACAGAAGGTCTGGAGAACATGACAAGGTCCAACTTTTTTTTTTTCCTTTCTATGCTTTGTCCATCTCTCTTACCTCCCCACTTAAAGATTTTTATTCAATATTAATTTTGCATTTTTTTTCTTTTTCAACAAGCACATTTTTAAAGAAAAACTATTGCTGTTCTTGTAAAAGATGCATCCATAAAACTAATACTGAAGTATTCCAGATGCTCAACTTTTCTTTCTCCCCACCCCTCTAAACAATAAATTGTAACAAGACAATTATGTTTGGTTCTTACTAGTTACTTCTCTGTCTGAGAGAGAGCTGAGGATTTGAAGAACCTGATTAGAGAAATGGAAACTAAACAAGCTTTACTGTATTTCCTTGGTTCAAGACCAGCATGTATTAATGCTATTAGCATTCTTTATGTTCTCAATAACATTTTCTATGTGTAAGTCCTAAAACTAGAAAAAGTAATAGAAAAAACATAAAGACAGTTTTGGGAACATTCTCTAGTTTAGAAGCCATATTGCCCTCTTTGCATGGTACAGGATAAGCAACTAGGAGGCTTGCAGACCGTCAGTATTTATCTAGATCAATTAATTTAAAAGCTTGCAGGTCTGTGTTTGCTGAGGTTTGTATTTATTAGAAAGTGTTTCATAATGACTCTTTAGGGATATTAACGACTCAATTAACTGAAGATAAATATGAACACTACCAAAATCACACACTGTAATGCCATTTTGTAAGTGCTCCACAAGTGACTACACTTTCAGTTGATGTTTCCCCTTTCAGAGGGAAGGAGTTTTTTATTCATGTCCCTGAAAGTGGGAACACCAGCAACTATTTAACTGCTTTATACATTTTCTTGAGGTTTAACAAGAAGCAGAGTCTGATTCCTCCCCTCTGCTTTATTAGTTGTCATTGTTCTGGTGAGTGAAGCGGATTTACAGGAATCAAAGAGATAATCCTACAGGACACGCCAGCAGACTTTGAAACTTTTGACACTCAAACAACCACATTCACCCAATCTTTTTATTATACCAAGTGCATCAGGAACTGTACATACCCAATATGACTGGATGTTCTGGAACTCAATCCCAAAGTAGTCTGATTCAATCAAATTCAGATGCTTGTAAACTTCAGTCAATAAAGCCTGGCCATAACATTTTGACTAAAAAAGTTAAAAAAAACCCCAAACAATTACATTAATATAAGTAAGTTTACAGCAAACTAATAATAAAAAAAAAATAATCATAGCATCTTTAGAAACTGCAGAAAAATATCACAAAGGTTTTTCAAATTATGCTTATCTCTAACATGAAAACATCCAATACACAGGCATGGCCCCATGCTAACCACTTCCACAGAAGGACTCAGTCTGGAAGGGGTTACTGGAGGTCTACATCCAACCTCCTGCTCAAAGCTGGGTCAGCTATGAGACCAGACTAGATCAGCTGCACACTAATTGCAGCTCCTTCCATAAACCAGCATCATTTGTTTGTGTAGCTGGACAGGGTGGCTCTCCCCCAGTTGCAGTGGGCTAAAGCAGGGGCTGCCAAAACCCTGCCACCCCCTCACTTATACCAACACCAGGAACCACTCAGCCCCCTGCAACTTTTACACCAGCAAGACTTGAAACCTGTGCAGATGCTCTGAGCAAGGCCAAGACAGCCAAGGCAGGCTGGCACAGGGCAGTTTGCATCCAACCAGAATTTACCACTGACCTAGAAAGGCCCAGGCAGCCTCAGTGGAAAGCAAGAGCTGCACAGGCAGCCTTCACAGGACCAGGCTGACCGCTGCCAGGGATCACGGGGACCGAGTGGAGGCTGCTCATCACAGCACATTCAAGGCCTTTGCTGATAGAACTAGAACTCAGCTTCTGCAAAAGGAACTGGCAGTGTGCACTTGCAGCCCAGAAAACCAACCGTGTCTGGGGCTGCACCAAAAGGAGTGTGACCAGCAGGTTGAGGAAGGGGATTCTCCCCCTATACTCCACTCTCAGGAGACTTTTTACAAGGGCATGTAGTGTCAGGACAAGGGGGAATGGCTTTAAGATAACAGAGGGGAAATTTAGATTAGGTATTAAGAAGAAATTCTTCCCTATGAAGTGGTGAGACACAGGCACAGGTTGCCCAGAGAAGCTGTGGCTGCCCCATCCCTGGCAGTGTTCAAGGCCAGGTTGGACTGGGCTTGGAGTAATCTGGTCTAGCGGAAGGTGTCCCTGCCCATGGCAGGGGGTTGGAACTAAATGAGCTTCAAGGTCCCTTCCAACTCAAGCTATTCTGTGATTCTGTGAACATATTTGAAAAACCCTAACTTTTTTTTCTACAACAGTGTTCAAGAAAAGCCAAAGTGATAGTATTTATTCTGTTAAGAAACGGGAAGGCTACAGTTCCCTGTAAAGAAACCAGTGGGAACCCAAACACCCTCCTCTCACGCCACGATTTCCATGCAGTCATTTGCTATGAATCCCTGAAGAAACTATGAATCTACTCACTAGCCCTCTTTTCAAAGTTAAGTTACGGGCAAAGACACAAAATCTAGCAGAGTACAGTGGGAGGCAGCATGGTCACTGATAGCCGCATTCTGCCTTGGACCATGCAAGTAATCCTGCATCTGTGGCAAAAGGGTCCAGCATAGCTCCGCCAGGGTTATCCAGCAGAACATGCCTCAGGCATTCATGCCACCGAGGTCTTGTTTACTTTAAAAGTCAGAATGACGGAAGACTCTATGACTTTCCCATAAAAGCAGGCATACAGCTCAGTAGTTGACTCTTTAAATTCAGAACAGTCTTTCAAAAGTATTAGGCAGCATAATAAATTACCAATAGAACTAGAATAAACTAATAAAATGCAAATGAAACAATCTAACAGAAAGAATGGGCCACTTTAGGTTAAAACAAAGAGGGTTTTAAAAAGTAAAAAATAAGGTGAAAGCTGCGGAAATTGTTTCACATTACTGAGATGCATAAAAATTCAAGAGTAATTGCTTCTTACAGGGAAGAGATTAACTGTTGACGTTTTTAGAACTGCGCAATTCAGCTAAATACCTCTGTATCACTTAAAAAAAGAAAAACTTCAGTGAGGAAAAAGCGTGACAGCTATGCAGTACTACAAATCTGACATAGCTTTGGTAGTCACGCTGATGTGAATGGAGCTGTCTGAATCCGACACTATAACCAAGGAGGAAAGCACAGAAACAGGACAGAGAATGATACAAGATTGGCACTTCCTTCTCATTCACGCTTTTGCAAGTCGTGATTGCCTGTAAGGGCAACCATGGGTGTGAAGCATAGATCAGGTGAATTCACCTGGCATAAACAACCATTTGTTTATAAACCTTGGTATCATGCTATATCAGGCCACTGATGCTGAAAACCCCAAACAGAACTGCAAGTCAGGAGAAATTATCCAGTTCTTCATCACTTCAGTGGATACAAAGATGTCTGGTTGGGAGATGACACAATGTGATGAGGAGTGTTCTCTGCTTTCTGGGCAAGTTTTGTGATGTCTAAAATGGCTTTTTTTTTTTTTTTTTGGTAAGACGACAGTTGAATTTTTTTAGGCAAAATCTGTGCTTGTAGAAGAGTCTGTGGATATGGATTTTAGTTTTTAAACGACAACAAAATAAGGAATGATACAGGTAATGGTAAGCTGCATCTTCAGTAAATAACATGCTTGCTCTTCTGTCTACAGGCACGTTCCTCAAGCACATTAGAGACTCCTTGCCACAGGACACACATGCTCCTGGAGAAAGGCACTTTGAAAATTAAATTTTGAACTTTCAAATGAAATACATTTCTTGCTTTGCACTTGTGAATAAACCTTAAAATACTAACAAAAAAAAAAATCCTTCAGTATAGTAGGACTTCTTTTTTTAAGGTACTGTCACTCATACAGTTATTATTATTGTATGCCTACTGTTCACTGGCACAAGAGATTTGTGAAAGGAATACTTTTTAGCCAGTGGTATTTGTGGGGATGCAGTGATACCGTGACCCAGCTCACATACTTCCACCTGCAGAAGATGGGACATACCAGCCTGCCCTAGAAGCTATTGAACAGATGCCCTGTAACCTCAAGTCTCTGACTTCTCATTTGTGAAATAAGCAGTAATTCTGGTTCCAACCACCTTCTGTTAGCACTAATAAATTTGGGTTAATTTGTGAAATTCATCTGGTAACAGACAAGTTTTACAGTGAACTGTGGGCTCTGTTGATTAAGGAAACTGTGTCGTGTTCATGGCTAGTTATACACAGGCATTAATATCAGATAATAATACATGGGTTTCTCCCATGTGCAGCATTTAATCAGAGTTACTTCTGTGGCTCCATCAAGTTCCATGCCTGATGACAGTCCAGCTGTCTTCATTTCTCCCAAGAAGGGAAGCTGTATGTCATACATACCCCTGGCACCTCTCTCCTGCCACTGGAGATGAAGAAATAAGGCAGTTTGAGCTGGGAGCACTTTACAACTGATCGAATTACAAAGGTGTCACCGAAATGTTGGAAGTGAAATATTATTTTGAATGGGCTATCAACAATGATTTTATTTTAAAATTAAAATGGGCTACAAAAGCTTGAGACAGAATACAAACTTTTATTATCATGTCTCAAATGCTGTGGGGAAAAACACTTCTTAGAGCTATTTAGTTACTCAAATTGCTTATTACATTTACAACCATCCTTTCCAAAAAGCTTCATGTTTTGAAGTGGACAAAAATGAAAGTTATATAGTGGGCAGCTCCACATCACTGTTTAATCTGTATGAAAGCAGCACAAAGAAAAATCTTTCAACTAAGTACTTAATTACTGTAATTTTGACATCAGGGCAAGAAGCTGCCTGAATGTGTTTCAGAAAGGTCCTGTTTTCAATACGAATTTCCAACATGGCATACTTCCCATTCCAAACTTCTCAATTACCCTTTATATTCTGCCAAGACAGCAACAGCTGATATTACTGAATTACTTATTTATTCCAGATAAAAAAGAAAGAAACAGGGGAAAAATTAAACAGGCAGCTAACAAAAGCCTTCCCTAGTGACCCAGCTCAATGGCAATTCCCTACTCGCACAGAGGAGGAGTAATGCCTTCAGACCACACTCAGTGCTAAGCCAGCATCAGGCAGGAATTGAAACTAATAGGAACAAACATTTCAAGCTTAAGTTTCTGGAATGAAGGAGGTATCTGTTTTTACTCAGAAAAGTAAACACATTCATTGTTAACAATCTGTAGGACAGAACAGTTGAATGACAGTTATTTTTGTTTATCAACCCAGTTATTTCCCATTTTCCCAAATATCACTACCTACATGGCAGATCCTCTATCTGCCATAGCATTTTAGCTTAGGAAGACAGAAACACGAAGTAGGAATGCATAGCATATGATTTTCAGTAGACCATCATTCGCTATTATCCAAACGAATTCTTCCTCTGTAACTCCCAAACATGTCCACGTATTTTAACTTAAAAACCTAAAAACCCCAGTATTTTCATAATGAGTAGTAATCTCATATTCCAAAATGGACAAACTGCTCTTGCTTAGACTTTTGAAAACCAAAATCCACTTTTGGCAGCAGTTAAGCTGGGGAGGTGGGTAACGTATGTCAATCCAAAACCAATAGTTTGGGAACAAAAGAATTGTAAAGCATAGGATTAAAACAGAAAAACTCTTAGGCAGCCAGAAAAGGCACTTCAGCAAACACCAGCTGAGCTTGGATTTTGAGTTACAGAAATCTGCAGTTGTTGAGAGACTAAATCCTCCAGTAAACAGTGTATCTACGTGAGAGTTAGAAGTTTATATTTGACATCAGCACTGACAAGCAGCCAACACTGAGTGCTCCATGAGCAGCCAAAGAGAAGTGCCAGCAAGGAAAGAAACCAAACTGATTTCAACAAAGACTCCTTCACCATTCACAGGTATTTTCATTTTCCTGTCTTTTGGTGCACTTTAGTGGTCTTCCTAATGAAAAAGTGATTTCTCATCTTTTGGCAAATTAAAAAAAAAAATATATATATATATAACCAGCAACTAACACAGTGTTACACCAGACTTGTTATTTCCTTTCTTAACGAAAAATAAACAAACAACTCAGTGAGTTTATAGCTCTGTTTATCTAGAGCCCTTTTGTAATCTGTTAGATCTCTGTCCAAATGCAGTGTGATGCATAAAAA